CCTCAGAAACGCTATACGCCTACAAGCTCCTATGTGGTTTTTCTCCAATATATGGCACACAAACTCCTATGTGGTTTTGCTTCAATGTATGGCACACTCATCTTGACCTCACAGGTGCATAGACACTACGAGTATGTGTGAGTTTAACAAGAAATGTTGAAAGCAGAAAAAGGTTATGACTTTATGATCTATGTATTAAATGATGAAAGAATTAAATGATAATAAAAGGAAAAAACAAAAACAAATTCAACAATTGCATAACTCTTTCTGATCTTTCAACAGGAGATTGTGAATTGAATAAAGTGGTCTGATAGATGCAGAGGGGTGACAGTCAGGTTTGCTGTCGAGCAGTTCCGAGTCAGAATTAAATCAAGAGTGTTGCCAGCTTTGTGGGTAGGAGGAGTTGTGACCTGCGTGAGGTCAAATGAGGATAGAAGAGCAAGGAAGCCTGTTGCCTGGGCTTTATCAGTGTATATATTCATGTCTCCCATTACAATCAGTGTTGTTCCATCATCAGGGATTTCTGAGAGTAGCATGTCCAGTTCCACAACAAAATCATTCAGATTACACCCTGGTGGGCGGTAAATGATAGCAATATACATTTTAATAGGAGCAGTAACCATGATTGTGTGATATTGAAATGAGGAGTTGTTGCTCAGTGGGAAGAGTTTATTGAATTTCCAGGTATTAGAAATGAGGATACCTGTTCCACCTCCACGTCCAACAGAGCGGGGTGTGTGTGAGAACACTGTGTCAACAGAAAGAGCAGCTGGTGTGACTGTATTTTCTGGGCGGATCCAGATTTCAGTAAGGGCAAGTGCCTGAATGTCTGACATTTTTGCAAGTGCTTGGATGAATTCAGTTTTATTCACAGCAGATTGACAGTTCCAGAGGCCAAAAGTAAATGAAGGGTGGGTAGAAGAGGCTTTCTTCAGCAGAGGTCAAGTTGTTAAGGTTTTGTTGTCTATGACAGATGTGCCTTTTCCTGTTCCCATGAATGCCAGAGATTTCTTTGTAGCACATGTTGCGTTTAGCAGATGACCAGAGAAAATAGGCAAAGCAGTAGTCGTGGATGCCCGGGCTCTGTGGCCACGCTGAAGCGTCAGATCTCTTTTAAGCTTGGATTTTCGTGAAAATCCCGCCCCAGATTTTCAGCTTGCAATCAACAGAGGGTGCCACCTAGCTGACAAGACCTTCCTAGTTTTCAGATCAGAGCTTGTTCTTTAGCAGTAAAAAGGTTGATGCGCAGAGATACTTAGTTTTAAAAACTAACTTTTTGACTGCAAAATTCATATTAGCTGTTTTTCTTTTGGCATCCATGTAATGATGTATTTTGATCTCAATCAGACAGTCACAACCTTCTACCTTCTGAGGGGTATGATGCAGTTATTAAATGTGCACCTTGTGTACACTTACTTACAATTCATTTTAAATAAGATAAAAAGAAAGAAAGTATTCAATAAAATGTTTCTTCCTCTCTGCACTGAAGACTGTAGCGCTTCAGCATATGTTGGCTGTGCTGTTATTTCACTATAGTCTCTTCTTTGTGTCCTATATCTTCCCAGCAAGATAGATAAAGATACATGCAAGTATAGAAAACGTGGAAGGATATAATTTAATAGATTTGGGATGTATCGGATGAGAAATCATGTGACTAACTAAGCGGACCTTGACTCAGGGCCCCTAAAAAGATCAGTGAACAGGCCTCCTCTCTTTTACTGGACTTGCTCTTTTACTAAGACTTTGTTAAGATGAGTGTTTTGGGGACCATCTTCAATAACCTTAAACAATCTATTACAGAGGAACCACTTGGGCTAAAAAAGCTGAGGGCTACACTGCCGTTGTTAACTTCTTGTATATGTTTCAGGTAGCTTTATTGGTTGAAACGGATGCAAAAAAAAACATGACTGTAACATGGGGTGTGTTATTGAACTGTGTCTAACAGTCAAGTCCATCCTTTACATTCATCCAATGAACTTCTTGTATGTAGCTACAAAGTTTTATGCACCTAAACGGTTAAATTGTGTTTGTCCTGTAGCATTAAGATCATCCATTTGAACAAAGGGGCTTGGCACAAAACTTAAAAACAGGCCCAGAACACTCCGTGTGTTTCTGACATCCATCCAGTTTCATCCTTCAGGCTGCCAGATACTGAAGCATAATTCATCACTCCAAATAACTCCTACTACAGAGTCCCAAAAAAATGAATCAGCCAATCAGAACTCTTCTATTATTTAAACAACCAAATAGAGGTCTTTCTTTGAATATTTCATCAATCAGAGGTCTTTCTTTTAAAACACAACCAATGAGAGCTCTTACAAATAATTTACAACCAATAACAGCTCTTTCTTTTCTTTAAAACTTATGCAACCATTTAGAGCTCTTTTTCAAATATTCAACCAATAAGAACTTTATTTTATTATAACAAAAAATCTGGGATCTTATCTTTTTAATATTCAACCAATCATAGTTATTTTATAGATTTATTTTAATATAAAACCAATAAGAGCTCTTATTTTTGGATGTACAACCAATCAGAGGTCTTTCTTAAAAATATACAACCAATCTGAGCTCAAAATAGAAAATAGCCAAACAAATCAGAATACTTATATTATTTAAACATCTAATGCTGCATTCATATGGTGTCGGACACATCGGAAAAACAAGTTTCCTCGAACATGCACATGAACACCTGCTCAAGTCGGAACAACAATTTGGAAACTAATTAGGTACCCGACTTCCCGACTTGACGTCAGAATTGTCATCAAATAGGGGGCAAAATATGTTTCGGTGATGTTTACATACTTTTAATTAATTCAGGTATTGTTCAAATATAAGTTTTAACAGTAACATTTCACTGTTCTTCTTCGTTGCATCAACGCTGTTTTTTGCTGTTGTTACAACATTACGACTTGCCGAACTAAAATCACATGAACACAATGAAGTCGGAAGAACGACTTCCCAACTCAGAAACTTGGACCACCAAATCAGCACCTGAATGCATCATGGGTCTTTCATTGAATATTTAACCAATGAGAGCTCTTTCTTTTAATATACAACCATTAGGAGCTATTTAAATATACAACTAATAAGAGCTCTTACAGTTCATTTACAACCAATCACAGCTCTTTTTTCCTTTAAATTTGCAACCAATCATAGCTCTTTTTTAAGATTACAACTAATCAGAGATTTCTATCAAATATTAAACCAATTAGAGCTCTCCTATTACATTTTCGACCAATAAGAGTTATTTTATTTAATAGTCAACAAATCAGAGCGCTTCCATTTAACAAACAACCCATCAAATCAACCAATAACAGCTCTTTCTTCAGATCTGTTCTTTTTTTTAAACAACCAATCAGAGCCTTTTCTTCACATGTTAAACCATCAAGGCTCTTTTTATACATACAGTCAAGCAGAGGTATTCTACGTTTTTTGAAAAAAACAATAAGAGCTCTTCCCTATTTAAAAGAAAGAGTTCTGATCGGTCAAATATGAAATTGAAGGGTTCTAGTTGGTTGATTATAAACAGAGACAAGCTCTGATTGGTTGTTTATAATCACAGAAGAGCTCTGATTAGTTCTAAAAAAAATTAAATAAACAACTAATCAGAGCTTATTTATTTTATAAACAACCAATTAGAGCTTTTCCTTTTGAGATTTACAACCAATTAGCGCTTGTTCTTTTCAATTTCCAACAGATTAGATCCCTTCTTTTTAACATACAACCATTCAGAGCTCAATGAATTTGACATCAGGGTGTGGTGATTTGGCAGTCTGACTGAGACTGAAATAATTTGACATTTTTGGCTGTAACTATGTATCTTTAAGCAAAAGTATGTCCTCTATACTGTATGGCTGGGCTAAGGGATTTGAGGAAGAAAAAAAAAGAGGATGTGTGGATGCAGTAATGTATGCCTAGACACTCACAAGGCTTTAAATGAAATGTTCATGTATGATTTAGAATAGATAGCAGATTACAACATTTGAGGTAAATATAAAGATGATGGTCTATATAGGCCTATATTAAAGTCATAACTGCAGTTATCTGAATATCTTTTGGGGGGCAAAACATTTTTGATAAAGGCCTAAAAGGTTTTCTAAAGAGAGATGGAGAGATGAGCAAGATAATTGAGAGGGTTACTTCCGTTCTGTCAGGGAGTTTACATAAATTGTAATGAAATAGTTTAAGTGCCAAAGCAAAAAAATGAGCATGGCTGATGATAGGCCTACTTCTGTTTTAATCATTTCCGGTTCTACGACTTAACTTTTTTGCCCGAAAGTCTCTTAAGGTTGCATGTATTTTCTTAAATTGTGGACATGTTTCTATCCGTTAGTTTGCCTGAAGCACTTTCTCTCCACTTTCAGCAGCGATCCTCTGGCAGGGACTCAGGTTTTGGGAGCGGCACATTCCACATCCTGAAAAGTAGCTCTACCATAAATGGTAAGCTATAACAAACATTGAAACTCATGTGAGAGGAGCATAATGTTAGGAGGTATCACTCTGTTCTACTTTTAAAGTAGCCTTTTCGAAAGTAGCCTATGTGCCTACAGAAATAGCCCTATGCTTTAAGTTTGAAAACAATGTTCATGCCTGTTAGTGATTTCCATAGAGTTGGAGTTCTAATGTTGCTCTGGGTAAATGCTGTGCATCATATTTTCACCTAGGCCTATCTATAACATATTGATGTCAGGATTAAAATAATTGGAAAATAGAACTTGAATTTGACATTTTCTTAGTTTCCTAAAACTAAATCCGATATTATCATATAGCTTTCTCATATTGTCAACAATTTCCATTAAAGATCAATATCATTATCAGTATCTTTTTTGTAATAGGCTATCACTTCACTATTCTGCTTTTTGCTCTATAAAAAAGCGGGCACAGAAATAGGTTGGCCATATGATTAGCCTACTTGGCGCACAGGTATAACCACCAAGCTTTTCGTCAGCCCCACAACATATTACTGAGTGAGCCACTTTTCAATACACGATCTTTGTACTCTCACTTACCAGCGTGGAAACTACGAATGTGGTCTAACTGTAACCTGAGGGTCCAGCCCTCTTTTAATGCTTCCTAGCTGGTATTCAGGCTAGTCGTCTGCCTATAGATCATTGTACGTGTCAGTTGCTGTAGGAAGTGAGCTGCTGGAGACATAGCCTATCTTCAAACACTTCAGACGACTTCGCCACTTTAACATTAACGTTATGCCTATTAGGGTAGTGATAGAGGGTCCTGGACCCTGGGGATTCCGGCTGGTTGGGGGAAAGGACTTCGAACAGCCGCTGACTATTTCCCGGGTAAGTTTTACGGTGCTGCTAACGTAACATTGTATCATTATTGTGTAACCTTAAGCTACCTGAGCATGTACCGACGAAACACCCCTCGTAGTTTCCTCTGAACTTCTGAGGACGAGGTATCTGATGTAGGCCACGATAACGTCATCTAGTTTGAGCATCAAGTTGACATTCCTTTACTAAGGGTAAACTGATAAGCCTATTACTATACTTACCAAATGTAGCTAATGTTAGTTATTGTCGTTGGTATGCTCTTACTGTCGGGTTCTTTTTTTACTTCCAGTTTCTTGAAGTAGGGTGACTCAGACCCCAGACCCTTAACATAGGCATACCAGTATCTTCGTTTCTAAACAGGGGTTTCATGGATTATTTATTTGTTCCACCATGAAATTAATTGCCTAGACAGGCGGAAAGTCTGAAGTTAAATATTTCAGCTTGTTGGATACTTTTCACGTGAACGGTATTAATACACAAAATGCTATTAGGCATTAAACGTATAATGTTCTACTCCTAAAATAGGCTAATTAAATTGGACTCTTCCCTGTGTAGGTCACTTTGCCTGAGTGGACCTTGGTCCTCTATTAGACATGTAGACAGTAGTCTGTCTACTCCACCCATAGAAACGTGATTGTGTCCGCCCTGACTTTTCTAGTGGATCTGCCTGGATGTCTTTAGTGTAAATAATGAAAGGTGTGTAAAGTCCTTAGGACACAGTCAAACAACACTCTGGACTTAATGCTCTAATAAGAAAGTCTGCTTACAGACTGTAAGGATATGTCCAGGTAAATTAAAGGTATAGTTTCCACATGTTTATGGTTATAGTTATTTGTTGCATTATGATTTATAAAAGTAAAGCTGATATGAATGTTATGAAGTTTTAAAATCGAATGTGTTATACCTGTTGATGTTTTTTCACATTATTGACTATCCTCAAATATTTATTTTCTTGCCTTTTGATTTAGAAAGCATTGAACCTATACCCTATGTCCACATACATTCATTCATTCATTGTTTTATTTAACCACACATTAAAAAAAACAATCACCAGCCTTGGGGTGATGATTGATTATACAGTGAATTCCTTAAGGAAAGTCAATATTAAGGATCTTATGAATGCTCTCTCTTTAGCCACTGCCAGCCCAAATAACTTTAGCTCAAATGCATTTTTATTTCTTTTGATGCAGGTCACCCCTGGGAGTAAAGCTGCCCAAGCCAATCTGTGTATGGGAGACATGATCTTGGCAATTGATGGAGAACCAACAGAGAACATGACTCACTTGGAAGCCCAAAACAAGATCAAGGGGTGCATAGAGGAGATGGTGCTGTCCATTGACAGGTAGGATGTTCCAGGCCTGAAAATACTGAGCAACATGAGACATCTCAGTCCAAGTGTCCAGGGAGTGGTGTTATGTTTATGCTTTTTCAAGGGCTAGCCATGTTATCCTGACAACTTTAATTGTGAGACGTGTGTGGGTAGCCTGTTTCTGAGTCTAGGTTATGTAACTTTATGGTAGCAGAAGATTTCATGTGGCAGTGATGTTTATAATGGAATTTACTAAAGAGGCAGGTCAGAACAAATAAAGGCAGGGTGGGGTAAACTATAAAGTAAGCCAAGACCAAGATTGTACTTGACTCTGCTCTGTTGTAATAAAGCAATACTCACCCAGAAAGAAACAACAGTTCTAATATATGTGTGTGTTAAGTTTCTTGTTATTCCTTACTATGCAGGTCAGAGACTAAATTGTGGTCACCACTTTCATCTGAGGAAGGGAGGTCACATCCGTATAAGATGAATCTTGCATCCCAGCCACAGGTATGTGCCTGCTGTCCTGATATCAAACCCCAAACTTTTACAATTACTGTCCTAACTCTCTAATCTATATTTAATTATTACAAAGTAAGCATACAGTTTCTGGAAGCCTGATCATTCCTTTTCCTCTGCACAAAGACTTTTTTCTTTTTTCTTTCTTTCTTTTCTTCCTACATACTGCCAAAGATGAAGTCATTGTTTACTTCCTAACAGGAGGTTTCCTAGGAGATGGTAGTTTATCAGCCAAGCTCTGATGCAAGCCTCACTTCCTGCCCTCTGAGTTGAGACCAAAGTATGAATTCATGTAGGAAACAGTGTGGTGTGTCCGTTTAAAGAGGTCACAGATGTTGCATTTTTCTCACACACAGTTCTGTGTTTCTTGTTTTGCCTCAGCCACTTTGATGTCATTTCACTCTTTATTATTTTAAAACATTGCTTTGTGCTTTTCAAGCAGTAATGACATTGTTCATGTTATTGTTTGTATCTTGGTGTATGTTAACTTGCTTGAAGAGACTATGGAGCATTCTGCACTTTAAATATCAGATACTTGAAGCATGAGCTATATTTGTAGGCATTTTTGTGTTCTCTCTTGGAAGCACAAGCTACATTTGGTGGTTTTTGTGTGCCCACTTTGACAGCATGCCAGTGTCATGATGTGTTTGAAGACTGTTGGCTATAATTAGAATCCATGACACCACACATTACCTTTCTAAATTATCAGTTACTTGAAGTCAAATTGGAAGCAGCAGTTGAATATCAAATAAGCCCGTCATGGGTTTTATGTTCAGATATGTTTTCAAATTTTCATGTTTAAAGTTTGCAGTTGCAACATTATTGAAAACATTTGAAACACTATAAAGGTTTTTCTCTTTTCAGTCATTTTCATGAACCAGTTGAAAACAGCTGCTTCAAACTTTGATCCCTATGTTTCAAAGTTGTGAACACTCTTGAATACACTTGCACTACTGCATGTTTCAGACAATAATACATTTCTTTTCTTTTGTATTGTTTATTTTCATTCTTTGCTTGGTTTTTCACAATAAGCTTTTCTTTTCATTTTTGCAGGAGGTGAAACCCATAGGATCGACCCACAACAGGAGTGCTCTGCCATTTGCTGCTTTCAGCTCCAATGTTGTCACTAACCAGTACAACAACCCCTCTGGTCTCTACTCTTCAGAGAACATCCAAAACTTCAACTCAGCTTTGGATGAAGCTAAAACCTTGGTCACAGCTCACGAGCCCAACCCCAAGTAGGTTAAGCCTTAAATGACAATCCTTCATCCCCTTTCAAATTGAGACTAAATCTCAGGTTTAAGACTTCTTTTGCTTTATAATATTTATAATATATAATAGACTGTTGACTTTAAATAAGCATTTAAATATGAGATGTATGATATGTTTCCTCACATATCAGGTCTTGCGCTGTTTGTTTATTTTCTGCCAATCTTGGAACCCTTCAGCAGTCATCCTCTATCATCATCTGATAGACGATACTGTATACGCCTCTGGCAATCAAGGTGAATTTCTTCATAATTCGGAAGCCAAAGGTTAGCATTAAACGACTTCTAAGCAAGACTTCCTTTCATGTCCGTACTTTGTCAATAACATCCCGGAGTAGCCCACGATAGTCTGAATGTAAGATATACTGTAACATCACTCTGGCTCACCTCAGCAGTATGAGCCTAAAAATCAACCTATTTCAATGTCATTTTGCCAAAATAACAAAGTCATGATGCAGATTTGTAAAAAGTCAAGCTTAGTCAGGTCTGTCATCAAGAGGAGAAGAAAACAACTTTTCAAATGTTTGTTGGTTGAATTGAGGTCGGTTCACTAATTTCTGGTGCGTTTTAGGATGTCAGGGAATCTAAACGCTGATTGGCTTTCGCCTCACTGAATCAAACAAATGTGTGGCTCAAGTTTTAATGATTGATAGATATCTTTTCTGCTAACTAAACAAAACCTCTCTGCTACTTTACAGCCCCAGTAACTAGTGGGACAACAGGTGGATGAATGTCTATTCAGAATCTCACTGTCTCCTATTGCCTGCCCACACACAGAAAAATACATGCCTGCAGCTGATTGATCAGACCCTGCAGCTGATTGATCAGACCCTGCAGCTGATTGATCAGACCCTGCAGCTGATTGGACTCTCCTAAAACTTCACAACTGCAGAAGAGTGTCATCACAATGTCCCAATTAAAACACATGTTCCTTTTTCTAGCCTCCTTGCATTCATCCTTGTTTCTCTCCATGCATTCCTGTTGGGAGGGACAAGGACACAAAGGGAAGCATGGATGTAATTTAAGATATTTTGGATGCACCTCAGCTGTTTGCTGTTTGTCTCTTCAGTATGTTTTGATGTTTTTTGCAGCATGTTACTCCTGCTGACAGATTGAAATGTACACACTTGGTTTTCAGGGCTCCATCAGATGCATCACAAACAGCCAAGCATTCACTTGTCGCCGAAGAATCGGAGGTTTACAAGATGCTGCAGGAGAACCAAGAGTCTGACGAGCCTCCTCGACAGTCAGCTTCTTTTAAAGTTCTTCAGGAGATTCTCGAGACAGGTACTCATTTGCAGCTTTCTATTCAATGGTTTTTCTCTTGTAAGCCCTGGGGGCAAAAACATATTTTTCGATTTTAATTTGATATCATAGTTGTCTACTTTTTTAGATTTCCTGACAGTCATTTATTAAACTAAAGAATTGCTTTAAGTGTGTGTAGAATCAGTGAAAGATCAAAAGATGTATTATGATAAGCCACCATTCCACCTAAAGCACCTGGAAATGTCAATCCCTAGAGCTACTTATTGATTTACTTAGATGTTCTTCTAGGCAAGTTCCTGTATATGGGAAACAGTCATCCTCTGAGCAGGGATCTTTTTAAGGCTCTTAATTTGGACTATGTTCCCCTTGGTGTCAATGCACTTAAGTTCCTCATGGGCATTAATTGATTCGGGTTGGTAGGGACATGTCCAAACTAACAACTGGTAAGTAAATAACTTGGTGAAAGATCTGGAATTTATCAAAGACTAATAATCTTATATTGATTTGTAATGTATAAAAATAAAAGCTAGACCCTGTTGCAATTGATTTTTTGAATACACAGGATTAGTTTGGAGTTCCTCCAAAGGTCCCATTGAGGAACGATTGTGCAGTGGAAACTTGGTTCATTTCTGTGCTTGTGTCTGACGGTTGTAGGTGACTCTGACAAACCATCAGGGTTTAGGAGTGTGAAAGCCCCTTCTACAAAGATTGGATCATCTGTGGGAAACATAGACAAGCTACCTACCTGTGACAAATGTGGATCTGGAATTGTGTAAGTATTTCATGATTCCTCACTATTACCTTCCACACTGTTACAAAAGATGTTGATATAACACAAAGGCTCACAGATGCTTTGGGGGGATTTGTCTCCACCTTGAGGCTTTATTTACTGCTATGTTGTCTTGTCCTTTTGTAGCCTGAAAATCTACTTTATCTAATGAATTTCCTATAAAACCGTATTCTGCACATTTTTGTACTTTAATAAGTTCATTTGAGTTTTCAGATTCAAGTTACGAGGTTAGATGTTTTTCAGCTAGCTGCATACTTCTCATATCAAGTCTAGAGAGGAACCCTATACTCACAATTATGTAAAATACTTACAATTAAGAAGCGCTCAATAATTATTTTCATATTATGACTGACTAAACAAAACCCTCCCCACTAGTAGACATACCCCACAACGGGAGCTTTAGAATGCTGTTTGAAACATTTTTACACTTTGTAGCCTACAACATGGCCACACTTGCGTAGTGCATCATTTCTAATCAAGCAATCCTTATTTGTAAAGTGCCAAATCATAACAGATGTTATCTGGAGACACTTAACAAAAGGCAGTTAAAAGAGCGTACTCATTGTTATGTTACAAAGAGCCAACATTAATCCATCATGAGCACAGCACTTAACAACATTTAGCAGAGATATGGTGGCAAGAAAAAAGCCATCAGTTTGAGCCGGTTAGGATGGTTCCAAAAGTGAAATGGCTGTGCAGTTATCTTAATTGACAATCAAAACCTCTCACCGCTTCCTCTTTTAATGGCATGGAGAAAACTTTATTACATTTGGTTCTTATTGTTTGTTGTTTTGTTGCTTGTTGACCATTTGTAGCTGCTTTGAAATGAGCTGTTAATAGTTAATAAGTGAATACTGATGCCTCTGTATGACCTACTAAAACTAATAAGATCATCAAGAAGGTATCAGGCAATGAACAGAAGGTCTGATACCTGCTGAAATAGTTTTGTTTTTTACATTTTCCATGGAAAGTTTTGACAGCGAGGTGCATGTTAGATAGAATAGACAAAATAAAGCAGGATGTATAGGACAAGATCAGAAAAGATAGAAGATGTACTGCCTATGGCAGTTTTTTAAATCTCACTAGTGTATGTGCGTGCGATTATTAATGAACCTATAATGTCGTCATGGGATACAATCCCTGCTGTCAGGTTCAGAAAATGAAATGAGCATCACATTTTCCTGATGTTAAAAAAAATAATTGTTTCAATGTGTTTAGATGTCCAAACACTTTTTTCATTGTTGTATTGCTCTAACCTTTTACAAGGTGTTTACAATAGATCCTGATTATTATGATAATATATATGATATATAATCCATGTCATGAAGCAGAACTATCATCAGTCTGTTTGATGTTTCTATCTGTGCTTCAGGGGGATGGTGGTGAAGCTGAGGGACAAGTTCCGTCACCCAGAGTGCTACACCTGTACGGACTGCGACATCAATTTGAAACAGAAGGGACATTTCTTTGTGGAGGAGCAGATTTACTGTGAGAAGCATGCACGGGAGAGAATGACTCCGCCTGAGGGCTACGACGTGGTCACGGTCTTCCCCAAGTAGAGTGATCGCTAAGCTCAGCCTCGGACTGCACACCAATAAAGGACCAAGACATAATCCAAGACATTGCAACCTTTAGCTTTTGCTACTCCTAAATAGAAAGTGGTCTTCTTTCGCATTCTGTTTCAGCGCAGTCACTTCTAGGTAGGACTGTCATGAATATCATCTTTTCAAATGAAAAAGAATACTATAAGATGACATCCCTTCCCCCCAAACAGCAAATGTGGTTATGTTATTTTTACATGTTCACTTTGTTCTTTGTAATGATGGAAAACAAACACAGATTACTTCTTAATACAGAAAAAAAGATCTCCACGTTTTTAATAAATAAGCACTGAATGCAGTTAAAATATTTTAAAACTTGTTACCTATGAATATTTAAGCTTGAATTAGCTGCCTGAATCATTGATATGGCTTCATGGTGTTTTAATGAAACTGATTTATCTACATGGTCATCAAATCACATTCCCAAACAGATTTCCTCCATTGCCAGTTTTGTCTCACTTTGTTAAGTAGAATACTTAATCTTTTACGTTTTGAATAAATTCAGTTTTTCATCTTTATAACTAGGTTAAGTGCTGAAAAAGATGAAAAACAAACGGAAAGTAGAATAAAATGTTGCACAAACCTGCCAGTTCTCAACCCAGTAAGTGCTGTGACCCGTGATGTGTGGTTGGTTAAAGCAGAGTTAACCTGTTCCAACTTTTTGTTTGGATCATTTTAACCACAGAATGACTTGAAATAAAAGGTTACAGGCATAACACAGGACTGGTCTCTTCCTAAAATCTTACAGTTCATTTCATGAGCTGATATTTCAAAGTCTGATGAGACATAAGCAGACTCTACAGGTGAGGTAAGGTCCGACTCCGCAGGTGAAACACATTGGCTGCTGAAGTCCGCCGGCGTCAGTCCACGGTGGTCAGCCATGCGCAAAGTCTCAGTTAGAGCCCAGATGTAGTTGTGGGCGAAGCGCAGAGTTTCGATCTTGGTCAACTTTACGTCTTCGGGCAGTGACGGTAGAATGCTTCTCAGCACATCCAAAGCGGAATTCAGGTTCTGCATCCGGTGACGCTCCCTGTCATTTGCCTTTATTCTTCTCCTGCCCCGCTGTCCAGACCTCTCACATGTACTTATGTGTTTGACATGTTTCATTGCCGAGCCTTGCCCCCTGATAACAGTCAGTGGACTGAAGTCCTCTCCAGCTTTATGATCACAAACCCATCTGAGCGTCATTGCATCTATGGATGTGCAGAGGTCATGTGGGGTGCATTTAGGAGACATCCTCTGCTAAAAAATAGAATACAAACCAAAATATATAAAACGCATATTCATGATACAACACAAAACAAGGCAAACTTCATGAAGTAAACTGCAGAAAGTAGCGTTTGTTTTCAGTGCATTTTCTATGACTCTTTAAATCCTTGAAATGATTCCACTAGACAGAACATGCAGTTGAACATCTTCGATAAACTTGAGCCGGATCGGTACATTAGTACTTACTGAACAGGAGATACTTGGAAAAAGAGACAGTCAGTTGGTCTTGTTAATCCTCACTGACAGCGGGGCACGGATGCGCATCTTTGCTATTTTATAGTGCCCTTATCTTATCTTTTTACATGGTGGACGCCTGAATAAACAGCGCCTGTCAAGTGACCAATCAGCTTCCAGATAGCACGACCACCACTTTCGTCCCACTCACTCATTCAGCGACGACCCCCCCCCCCCCCCCCCTTCTTAACTTACATTCAAATGTAAGTGTTTGGTGATATATCTTGCCTATGCCAGGTCAACCACAAATATTTATTATTGCCTGTAAAAATCATACTTATTGTTGTTTCCTGTCTCGGTGTCTCCCATGTTGATAAGCATTAGAAGCATCATGCAACCATCATTTCAAATGGCTTCCCTGGTGGGAAAAAAAATAAAAGAGTTTATTTCATTATCATTATTTTTTATCTTAGGGTTTAGAGAGGACACGACATTTTCTTTTGAACGGTGTTGTTATCCTTTACATTTCAAAGACATGGAATTTGAGTATGCAGGCATGAAATAAAATAAATCTATCACAAAATAAAATTCTAGATTATGTAGTTGTAAGAGTTCTTCCATACGTAAATACATTCACCATCCATTGCCTAACAATGCTGTAGCAGATAAGTGTAAAGGTGAGCTTGGTACACGAGAGCAGATGGCTTCATTGAAGGATGGTGTGGATAGTCAGCACTTTGTTAGTTAATGAATGTAAAATAAGGCTACCTTTGTTAATAAATGGATGCTCACAATGCCTTTAAAAATGTTGGTTGCCATAATTCTCATGCGCAGGCTTGTAGGAAACATTTAAAATATGAGTGTTATTTCTTGAAGTTGACCTACTTAGCACGGGATTTCAAGTTGCTTTTGCAAAAATAGTTTGTATCAAAAAGGAATATCACAATCAATAATAGAAATTTAAAATATCGCATTTTAAGCAATCTTCTTTTAGCTTTGCAGTTTACATGTTTTTCGTGATAACTTGGCAAGCTTGATTCTTAAATAAAGTTAAAATACATATCCGTTATTTCTGGTCCTAAAAAAGATTTGTATGCACATATGGGTAGTTTGTATCTTTCGATATTAAATGACTTGATGTGTTTGGTATTAAAATACTTACGGTGTTGCAGCTTCCGTATATCGTTTATATTGGTATAGAAAACATGACGTTAATCGTGAAAATATCATTTTGAATGCCGTTTATATTTGGACAAACTTAATGCGTTATGACGCAAGGCTCCAGCCGCACAAAGGCTATTACGCATGAGGCTACCAAACAAAGAGTATTAGAGTTGGACTGATCTGTTGACTGAGGTGACAGCACAAGAGCTTTTGTTGTTTGTCAAAACAATAAAAGCTCGATTTTTGTTTCCAAATGTGATTTTTTTTTATGTGTGCGCCTTGACATCTCCAAAACATATCCATTATTGTCCAAAATTATTGGCGCACAACATTTTTATTGATCAAGCTTTATTTTCAGAAAGTTAAGAGAAGTGAAATATTTCAACAATATGCAGACAGGATTCGGCTCTGGTGAGGGGAAAGGGGAAACATGGCTCAGCTCAAACATGATTTACAGTTGCCAACAAAGGATTACAAAAAACTCCCCTTCACTTTCTGTCTAAATATGTGTTTTGGGAACAATCTGATAACCATATGCTTTCAATAAACTGGACAAATACAGTAGTGAGATATGAGATGGTGTGTTGCTGTTATAAAAGGCACGAAACGTCTAAAGTAAACGGAACATTATAACTTTACAAATAATCATTGATGCCAAATCCATATTCGGATACCATGGGCAGGTGTGGGTTTTACGTGTCCGTCTCTCTCCATGATTTTTATCACTGTATTGTAGTGCCCTGCTTGTTATTCAAAGTATAGGCAAACAGAAGCGCCCAGTTGCTGTGGAAATAGCAGATACTGGAGCGACTTGGAACAAAAAGTAATTTAACAATATTTAACAATAAACTGAGCAAGCTCCAGAGCAGGTGATACCTGCCTGACGCCCTTGAGTAATACGTCCTCAAACACTTCACTTTTGCTTATTTATAAAACGAAATCTATTTATTATTATTTAAGCAAACAGGGGTACCAGGTGGGGCTTTATTTTCGTCCTCAGCTTTTTGTTTGAAGGACGTTTTCAGGGGGGCAATCAAAGTCCAACAACTCGCTGACCAGATTGTTGTCATCTCAAACTAGCAGCGAAGCCATTCAATGTGCACCCCTCCTCTTCGTCTTTCTGGCAAAGAGCTGCCAGAAGGAAAAAAAGAAAAAGGAAACTTCTTCAAGAAAGGAAAAACATCTTAAAAACATTTAATTGCAACCCGGATGCCATATGTACACCTCTTGTGAAACCCCTCAACAATGTGACTGCCTTTTAAAAAGTATGGAGTGCGCCTTGGAGACGTGTGCGCTTTTTGGAGAGGTGCGCGCGTCGTGACCAGAATGACCCCGAACGCACTTTACACAAGAAGTAATTCACTTTTAATGTGCTTTGGAGTTTCCTTTCACAAGCAATGCATTGTACCCACTCACATCAGCTTTTGAAGACGATGTACACCAATTACAGTGGAATAGCTGTCTTTTAGAGGCAGTTGTCTTTCTGTAAAGCACGAATAGGGTTCTGGCTGCAAGTCTCCTCCTTTCACCCACTAAACTAATGCAGACTGTTTTTCGTCCTGCTGATAGCTTGTTTACAATGTTAAGCCTGTTCCTTAGGGGTTCTTTGTGGATAGAAAAAAATGAGGCAGTTACACTGATGGATTCAATCTTTAGGAAAATAAAGACTTTTTAGGCTATGTCCATTTCCAATTGTGTAATTGTGCCATTGAAGATTAGGGAATAGACTGTTCTTAAAAAAACATTATGAACCAGGAGATCTTTCTTCTAATACTTTTGATTCAGAGGCCTAATTTAATATATTTTCGTGTTGCTGTAACTGTTTCCTGTCTACAAAAAATAGTTTCATTTAAAAGTCTTGTTACATTTTTATGTTTTCTGCATTTATAGACTAAGTCGATCATACAGCTATTAATTTTACTGAATGCTAGGATAATATGGTATAACCCTCTCACTGTCAAGTGCCATTTTCTTACACCTTTTATATGATTTAATACTGAAATCAGTATAAATTGGTGTTCGAGAAAAGAAACCGACTTTAAAATATGTTGTGTAATTTCAAGTTCGTCCCGGAAAATAATATGACTACATTCTTTCTTTAGTCATTTAAATATTATTAGGATAACTGTTGAATTATTATTTATTATTATATTTATTTGTAAATGTGTATTTTAAGCATCATCACAACATCATGAACTGTCCATGTAAATTTAAAAACCGTGGACTCATCAACGGCACAGCAGTGGAGAGAGTTAGCAGCACAAAGTTCCTGGGGGTGCAGATAACAGACACTCTGACCTGGTCCCTTCACACCGGAGCTCTTGTGAAAAAAGCGCAGCAGCGCATGCACTTTCTGCGTCGGATGAAGAGAGCACACCTCCCTCCTCCTATTCTCACCACCTTTTACAGAGGCACTATAGAGAGCATCATAACAAACTGCATCTCTGTCTGGTCCGGAGCCTGCAGTGCCTCCGACTGGAAGTCTTTGCAGAGAGTGGTGAGGACGGCGGAAAAGATCATTCAGACTCCACTTCCTCCCATCCAGGAGATCACCAAGATCCGCTGTCTGACCAGGGCTCAGAAAATCAGCAGAGACACCTCCCATCCCCACCAAGGACTGTTTTCACTGCTGGACTCTGGAAAGAGGTTCCGCAGCCTCCGAAGCAGAACTTCCAGGTTCTGTAACAGCTTCTTCCCACAGGCCATAAGACTTTTGAACACGAAAAAATAATCCCTCCATTCCCCCTCAAACCCCCACACAGGACTACCTCAGTGGACTGTAAAATACATATAAAGTGCAATATATTTATCTGTATAGTAATTTTACACATAGCTTTTCTTTTTATATCTATTTATATCTGCACCTTATTTTTCTATGTAAATACTTGCTGCTGTTTTTATCCTGCACTACAACGAGCCAAATGCAATGAAATTTCGTTCTTATCTGCACTGTAAAGTACAAGTTTGAATGACAATAAAGAAAGTCTAAGTCTAAGTCAATCTACAAACCTGTCTAAGGAATAATTAGCACCCATAACTTATCATCCCCAAGATGCAGCTTGGTTAATATTATTTCAGAAAACCAACATGTAAACGGTATACAGCTCAAAGGCAGATATGTATCTGCATCATGTGTTTTCATAGTGTTACTGGAGATATATTTGCAGTTCTCCACCTTGGCTGCGTCGAGGCGCTGTTTTCACTCCTCCAACAAAACGATTACGAAAGTTGCGGCCAATGATGCCTTCATTGAGGTCGAAAATATGGATACTAAAGGTAAACTACAGGCGAACAAGCCTACACAACGAAATTGTAAGTATGAACGTGCCACGGAATTAACACAGTTTCCAAAACATAACTTGACAAATAAATGCTTATGGCTGTAAATTCAGTAAATCCTATTTTATGCTGTAATGCACATTGTTAAACAGCAGTTACAACCCAACGTGGATTTTTGTTACATACCAAGTAGCTCAAAGTAACTGAAGAAAACTAAAACTATAAAGAAGATATACATTTTTCCGATTTATTTACAGTTCACACTCCTTGCATTTTGTGTAATAAGCATGAAGACAAACTTGGAGATGGTAATGTTTTCTACAAAAGATTATTATGTTTTATAGAATATATAGACCTACCTATAGACAAAGTAACGATATAAAATATGCTATAGTCTACATGATAGGATAATGATATGAATATCAAAACAATGAATCTCGATCAAAATCATGTTTTCATTAACCAGGTATTGCTGCAACTCTCGACTTTATCATGTCTAGGCCTATATTATATTTAGGCCTATATGTTTTTTACATACATAAGTGGAACGTCTATTTTCCGGGAAGCATTAGAACACAGCATCAGCTCTTTGCTAACACTTCTAGTATTGGGGCTGAAAACAGGCGACGCTGCTCTTTCTTTAAAAAGTAGATATAGTAAACATGCGGCACCACTCGAGCAATGGGCTGTGACGTGATTGGACCTAGCCATATTATTGTCAGATCTACAAATGCTAAGGCTGCGCACAGCTGCGCTTGACTGGTGGTTACTTCCTGAATCAGGGTTAGCTTGGTGCTGTGGTTGATTATTGTAGCATGTAGATGAGAACCGGAGTCTCAAAGCGGGTTGCTGGAGGTGACTTTCCAAGGTAGCAGACAAAAAAGGAGAATTTCGGTGAAAGTTTGCCTCGACAACATGGATTACTGGGTAGGTTTCGCTTCAATATAGTCATTTCTTATTAAGTGTACAAACGGTGTGATAACCAGGACGAAGACGATGTTACCACAACACGATAGAAGAGACTTGTTTATCACTTGGAAAGTGAGCTTGTGACCCGACTAGTTTGTGATCCCATGGATGCTGTTAGTCCACAGCTTGCCGTGACCCTTGCTATCAAACATTACTTAGCAAATCGATTTGTTTGAGGAAACACTTAAACTTAGTTGGTAATTTGGCCCCTGAACTGGGTCACCTTTCATGAGACGATGAACCCTAACATATTAGACATTTACTAAATAGTCAAAGTCAACATCCTATAGCCTACATTTCTTCATGTTCAGCTAATACAAGTAGGAATAAGATGTTTTATATCAAGGTTACTGTTGATGAAGAGTATAATATATTATATTATAAAAAATATATATTTTCTACTTTGGCATGCAAAAGGCAGATATTTATCTTTGAGTTTGGTGTAGAAGCACATTCCTTTAAAAGCAGAAGTTACACATCTACACAAGGTGAAAGTTATTTTTGAAAGTGGTTTTAAATTCTCTCCTCACATTATTTTTACTGTAGAAAATACTGCTTCGAAATAGGCCAATAGGAAATTAAAGTAGGAAGTTAGCTTACACTTAATACTTCTACCAGATGTTTTCTGATATTTGCAAAGTTTTTCCTGAAAGAGCAGAAGTTTAGTGGTTCCCTTTGATAGATGACTGAGCACAAGAGGGCTCGTCTTTCACAATACTTTCAGTGCAAAACTGGCCTTCAATGTGTCAATTAAAGTCTTGACTTATCCAGGTTATTTCAAGGAAAGGAAACCGATCTAAGCCCCAAAAAGGTTTTGCCTTCAAGTGAGTTTATGCCATGAAAGCCCCAGGACAGAACAGAACGTTGAAAACAAGTTTACAGATGTAGTAGTTTATTTTTCTCTTCCAGGGTCTGATCCCATAATCTTTGTGATGTGCTCTGAGTCTGTTTTCCCTTGATGTATCCAGGAGCTGCCACCGCACACCCAGTACATTTCCATGAGAACATGACCTCCCTTCTGAGACAACAAAAGCTCTCCTTACAGAATAGTCAAATGTTTTATGAGGGGGAGCAGAGGAATGGGCGTACACTGCTAAAACATGAGTTTGGACAATAGAACAATAGTTTTTGTATGAACTCTTTCTATGTTTCCTGATACAAAATGGCACCAAAAGAGTTTGGATGGACCTGAGAGGTATCGTAGACATAAAATGTGGTTGGATAACAGAGAGGCCCGTATCTGTAGGGACAGACTTGCCTTTTGCACTGATTATAGATAACACCATATCACCTTTTCTTTATGACACATGCGTGACATTGATCACTCATGTGCTTTGCCTGCATTCAATCTTTCCAAACAAATATTCCTATTAAGATAACTCTAGACAAGCCTCTCATTCAACACACATCAATCACTTATTTTCTGTTACTTCCCATTTGCCTCTGTCAAGCTTATCTTGCCAAACCTGTATGAGACGTTATCCAGACAGGCAGGTATGACAGCTGTAGCCTTGGCAGGGGTCTGACTTCAGTCGTTCACTAAATGCCCTCCACTAAAGCTCAGATCACAAAAAATGTATGATTAGTCAAAGATTGAGAAACCCTCTGGCATAATACTCTGACTGTTGCAATTGGTTAAAGGAACTTACATTTTGTCTCATATTGTGGGAAGTTTTTTTCAGGCAGCACAGACTTTGATTACTTCTGTTATTGTCTTTTGAACCTTAAGCTTTCCCCCATCTGATAATGTGTGAGGTCAAGAAAAGAGTCTTCTCACTATCAGTCTACTAACTATTGTGTCATAAAAGTACCACAGCAAAAGAGAATGGAAAGATTACTTCGTTGCACTTATGAAACTGCCTTCATGAGTCTTCAGTGTGATATTGCACTTGTGTGTGGATCAGTTAGATCTTCCAGATGGTGAAATAGCTGCATTCAGTATTTAGATTGGTGTCCAGATGTATGCTCTCTTTCATATTTCAGTCTGTCTTAAGGTGATATTCCTGTATATTTTCTTATCTGCTCGTGATTGATTGCAAAATATCCCTCTTGTGGCCTGATACCCTTTTGGTGCTGGGAGGAGTCTGATGATAGCCCTCCAGTTAGCTTTGAGCGGTCTCCCACTCTCACCAATAAGACGAAGCGAAGGCTGTTATTATAACAATCTTAAGACAAACTTACAGCATTAGTGTGATTGGGGGTGCTGAACTCTATTGGTCTTACTATGTCTTCTGATGTAAGTATTTAAATTTTGCACTTTGATTTATGGTCATATTAAAATAAAACTTACCAGTAACCAACATTTCTATACATGTGGTTTGGTAGTCATACTGCGAGATGTAACACATTCTACAAACAGTGATGACATGGCGGAGCTGTGTCTTGTGTCATTGGTTTCACTATGTTTCTTTGAAAATTGATTTTCTTTTCAAAGTAACTAGTTGCTAGTTGTTAATTATTTTCTCAAAAGTAGATTGATTCTCTGTTTCATGGAGTTCATGTAATGTCAGTCACTTCAAAAAGAAGAAAGCTATGCCTTTCATTTGATGTTCCCTTTTAATCAAGCGTTATTTTTCATGGATAATGTTGATACAAGTACGATGAAATGTAGAACAATTACTCTTATTAATGTCTGCATACTGTTTTTGCCCATAGATACTCAGTAACATGGTACATGCTTTATATAAGTATATCAGTATACAATGAAAACAGAGTATGGTGATCCTTTTCACAAAAACAAATCTGTTGTTAGAAAAGTCATTAACAGAACAACTGTATGTATGTGATGTCTGAATGTCTGTTTTCTGCACTTAATAAACTCAACAACTGTACTTTCAATCAGTATATATATTTACAGTATTATCAAATGCTGATTTTTACCTTATAATCCTCATGGGACATCCATTTTATAACAACCTTGATCCATTGTGATACAAACAGAGTGCCGTGGAGGTGTATAAGGAGATGGTCCAGCTGTACCTGGAGCAGGGCAGGCAGCAGATCAACTCCCACTGCGGAGACTCGGAGCCATGGCAGATCATCGGAGCCACATTCATCACCACACTGGGAGCAGTCTGGATAAAAGGCTTCCTGTTCCAGCAAGAAAGTAATCTGTTATACTTGATACAGTTGGTACAAAGGAGGGCTAGTTGGGAACATATCAGAAATGATAGTGATGGAATGTAATATTATTAAAAAATGAACTCACAATGTCCTTAAATTCTAACAAAGCTCTTTAAGGAATGCTGTTTTGATGACACATCTGAGTATGTGGGTTTTGGTCCAATAAGCTTTAACCTCTCAAGGTTAATCTTCTGTCTGGAATCTCAAATTGTGGTTTTAGAAAGTATCTTCAAGTATAGTGCTAGTTTCTCTCTCCTATGCGTGATTGACAAATGCCTTCAAACACAAGTTTTTGTTGATAATCATCAGTGGTTGAATTCTTCAGTTCCATACATCTCACTTCAGTGAGGCCTCTAGAACCAACTAGCTGCCATGGCAGAAAGTACATACTTAGTGAACATAGCTTCATTTCTCACAGGCCGCATCTTGTCCTGACATGTGATCTCAGGTCATAGTCAGCTGTTTAATGGACAAATGTGTGCCAACCCTAACCAAAGATGCTTCCTTGTCTTTCTTGCTGATAGGTCTCACATCCCGAATCAAGAAGCAGTGCTTTCGACTCGTCAGAAAAATACCCTTTGTTGGCGGAGCAGTAAGTATCAGTGGTGGATCTGTTCCTTTTTTTCCCAGCAGATGAGCAATGACTGTTGTTGTCTGAGGGTTTTATGAGTCACTCTTGGATGACATATACTTCATGGGGGGGAGACCTTTGGCACACTTAACATCATGCACTGGTGATAACACTCAGTATTTCACTGATGTATTGCTCACTTTGAGGCTTATCAGAAACTTACATAAAGTATTGATTGGTACGCTGAGTTTTTGCATTCTGAGCTATATAAGCTCAACTCCATTTACCATTTATGTGTGTCTTTCATGTATGCATCTGTTTTTTGTATATTTGTTACCTGTCTTAGGACTATGGATGTAATATTATTTTTATCCCTATCAAATAAACAAAATGTAATAAATGAAACGTTGTCACCCAACATACTGTAGTTACTTAACTTTAAGCTAACTCTGCTACAATGCATCAAATGGCAACATTTATGTTTTAAAATATACATAGTCCCTTTCATTTCACAAGAACGTTATTTCACATTCAGTCATTTTTAGTGAAATTCTCAGAAAGATAATGAAGTTTTTCTTTCCTCATGACAGATTCAGAGCCAGCTCAACAAGGCTTTAGACGATATGTCTACCAGTCTATGTACTCTAAAGGACGGGATGAGCTATATTAAACAGCTGCCCTCTAAAGGACTCTCTCAGGACCAAGTGCTGGACAAAATCAGAGACTATGAGACTCTGAGTAAGTCATCAAATCATCCATTCCCAGTGTCACAGTTCATTATTGGAATAACTTATTCCTGAAATGTATTTTCTTCTGTATTTTTTTGCAATTTGAAAAGAGCTTACTTTCTAAAAGATTTTGATTTCTGAAGAGACGATGTGTGGTTTCAGGTGAGGTTCAGTGGGAGAAAGGATGTGTATCGGGTGCAGTGTACTGGGGTGATGAAAAACTGACCAATCTCCTTGTTAAGGTATGCATCTTTGTAACCATCTCTAACATTCAAGGCGCAAAGAGTCGGACCTGAATATATTTCAGTGTTAGCCCCATTAGGGAGGGCAGAGGTATTTGATTTCATTAGATTATTTTCTTTTTATTTGAGAATAACTTTTTTTGTTTAAAGCAGATTACTGCCCCCCTGGGTGATCTGTTTGTTCATAACAAAGTTCTAACTGGAGTGTATTCAAGGTTTACTTCCTTTTCACTCTTTCTTTTTTCTTCCTAGGTATATGGAGATTTTGCATGGAGCAACCCACTGCACCCAGACATCTTCCCAGGTGTAAGAAAGATGGAGGCAGAGGTCGTTAGGATGGCTTGCTCACTTTTCCATGGTGGACCTAACTCCTGTGGCACAGTTAGTATTCACAAACATAAACTCACATTTTGCATAGATTTAAAATCATGGTTTGATATATTCTAACAGTTCTCTGTCTTTTTGTCCAGGTTACTTCAGGGGGAACTGAAAGCATACTGATGGCCTGCAAAGCATACAGAGACATGGCATTTGAACGTGGGGTCAGATACCCTGAAATGTAAGAGGAGCGTTTTAAGATGTTATGGAAGTTTGTTGTTGTTGACATATTGTAAGAAATGTTGTCCTCTTCAAGTAATAACTTTTGCAACATGAAACTGAAAACCCAGTTTCCCACGCCTTGAATTAAAATGTCCTATATAGCACATTTAAATGTAAGGCATGGGACCATTTAAAGGCTGTACTGTTTTCAACATTAGTTCTGTTCTGTTCTATTTTCTGAAGTCTTGCTCCTGTGAGTGTCCACGCAGCCTTTGACAAGGCAGCACATTACTTTGGGATGAAGCTTGTTCACATTCCCCTTGACAAGAACACTATGAAAGTAGATGTAAAGGTGAGGATACAGTACAGACAGTAGGTGCCCTGCTATTTTCAGTCTTCAATTATTTTCATGTTGTTTCTTCTCTTTCAAGGCCATGAGGAGAGCAATCAGCAAAAACACTGCTATGCTCGTGTGCTCAGCGCCTCAGTTTCCACATGGAATTATGGATCCCATTGAGGAAGTAGCCGAGGTCAGAATTTGCAAACAGTTTTGTATTAACTCTGTTCTGAAATGGTAACTTTGTAGTTGAATCTCTGATATGCTTCAATGTTATTTTGCAGCTGGCTGTACGCTACAATCTCCCGCTGCATGTGGATGCCTGTCTAGGAGGTTTTCTCATTGTCTTTATGTCCAAGGCGGGTTACACACTTGCCCCATTTGACTTCAGGATAAAAGGTGTTACCAGTATATCTGCAGACACCCACAAGGTAATGATGGCTTATTTTTTTCCCTCTGCATAAATGACTCACTTTTTTTTTTTCTTCTTATAACGTGTGTGTGTGTGTGTGTGTGTGTGTGTGTGTGTGTGTGTGTGTGTGTGTGTGTGTGTGTGTGTGTGTGTGTGTGTGTGTGTGTGTGTGTGTGTGTGTGTGTGTGTGTGTGTGTGTGTGTGTGTGTGTGTGTGTGTGTGTGTGTGTGTGTGTGTGTGTGTGTGTGTGTGTGTGTGTGTGTGTGTGTGTGTGTGTGTGTGTGTGTGTGTGTGTGTGTACCTTCCAGTATGGCTATGCCCCCAAAGGTTCCTCAGTTATCCTCTACAGTGATAAAAAATACCGTCACTACCAGTACTTTGTTGCTCCAGATTGGCAAGGGGGAATCTATGCCTCCCCCTCTGTTGCAGGCTCCAGGCCCGGGGGAATCATCGCCGCCTGCTGGGCAACCATGATGCACATGGGAGAAAATGGATACATAGATGCCACCAAAAAAATCATCAGCACCGCACGCAAAATCACAACAGAGTAAGACACCTGTTGACACTTTTCTGGAAACCTTAGCAATCATGATGTATTAAAAACAACAACACAGCTCTTGATCTTTGGGCTCATACATTGTTCATCTTAAAGCTTTCAACATGTTTTTTTTTTTGTTTTTTTTTGACAGAGTGCGTAACATCAATGGTTTGTTTGTGTTTGGAGATCCGGAGGTTTCAGTGGTGGCAATAGGCTCGGATGTTTTTGATATTTTCCGCCTGTCAAATGCCCTGACGTCAAAGGGCTGGAACCTTAATACCCTCCAGTACCCATCGAGGTACGTTTCAAGAAATAAATCATATACTACTTCCACAGTTTTATAACATCAGGACAACAATTCAAGAGACAATCAATGGTCTTCTCTTTCACAGCATCCACATTTGTTGCACAGTTCTTCACACAAAGCCCGGTGTTGCTGAGCAGTTTATCCTGGATGTCAAAGAGCAGGCGGCCATTATCATGAAGAACCCCAAAGAGAAAACCACAGGAATGGTGAGTTAGCTCCCTTCACACATTACTTTGTGTTCTGGTCATCCACAGTCTATGGTTTCACGTATAAGAGCCGGTGTACATTACATATTGTGTGAGGATGGTTTTATTATATTAAATCTCTAAAAAGATTGGTTCACTAGTAAAAGAAAAACTTCTCTATTCATTTCTTGGTACAGAATTAAAAACAACAAATTTCAACTAGCATAATACAATACACGATATCCAAGAAGTCACATGTAAAAACAAAAGTAAAAACACTCTGTGATGTCACAGATGTTCTTATTCATTTGTATTATTTTATTAATTTATATTTTATTATTTTGTTCTCACGTCCGTGCAACTTTTATGAAACATGTTATCAAAGGATTTTTTTTCTATAAAGCAGTAATGGTGAATAAGTTGTCAGAATCTATAACTAGTAACATCTAGTAGCGAGTTCCTGTCTATTCCAAGGCTACAACTAAACTGGTTGGCATTCACAGTTTTCCAATTCAGCAACCCAACTTTTCAAAGAAAGAGAGAGATTCTAAAGGAGCAAACATTTCAAACAACCAACTCTTTGTTTCATACAGCACAATCTGTCGGTATTTCAGTGGATAAAAATGGAATATTCAGATTTTTTGTGTTAGTTTGAAATAGAGTTCCAGCCTGCATCCTGCCTGTCAGGTTCGTCACGAGTACACCCATGAATAACAAGACACTTTTATTTAAATAGCGCATTTCAAAGGCCTCACACACAGCATGATAATGTATAACAAAGAAGTTAGTTTGTAAAATTTAAAGTTTTTCAAGTTACTTGTATTGTAAGTTTCACTTCAAGTACTCATCATTTTAAAAACAAAGATTCCAAAGTTATTTACAAAAACAACATGATGGTTTCAGTTTTTTACATTTTGAGGAACAGAAACTGCAGACGTGTTCTACAGAGAACAAGAAGTTACTTTCAAAATCCTCCTCTTTCTCTGTCACCTGAACAAACTGGTTGCTTGTGTTTTTCCTCTGTTTCTGACACTTTCTGAGACTATATTTATCTCCAGGATCGATTACAAATTCTAGTAAAAAGAAAAGCATTTTAGTCAGACAACTCATGTTTGGAATGTTCATTGGAATGAAACATTGTTTCAGTTTGGTGTTTAGTCGAGGACCTCATCACTCCTCACATATTTGTTTACGTGCATACATTTGAGGAGTGTTGAGATGCTATCTTCAAACCCCCTAGCAGAGTCTACAGGTTGATGGCTGAAAAGAACAATGCACTAGTGTCAGGCAGTAGTGTATTTAATAGAGCAGAGGGAGAGATGGGGAAATCCTGCAACTTCAATAGACCATGATGATTCGGATGTGTTTGTGGAGGATGATGCAAGAATGACTTAACAGTGCAGCTCAAGTTGCATGCCAGAACCGGCTTTCAGGTATCGCTCCATTAAAACCAGAAAACTTGGTGGATCATTGTGTTTGGCATTGGAATAAGAAAAGACAGTGAGATGTTCTGAAATCCTCTGAACACTAACACTGTTGATCATCTCTAGATCGGTGTGAGTTTGTCCTGATGACTTGTGTCTTATTATCATTTCAGGGAGCCATTTACGGCATGGCCCAGTCCATTCCGGACAGATCAATGGTGACAGAGATTTCCCAAGGTTTTCTGGACTGTCTCTACAGCACTGAGGTACCCAAGTCAAGCACCAGCCACATGAATGGCAACGGCAAAGCCCACTGAGGTGCTCCTGACCTACTCCAATTGAATGCAGGGAAAAACTCTCAACTCTTTCCAGAGCTCTGAGTTAATAGCTCAACGGTTGCCTTATATGCATATGTATGGCATACAGAAGAAAGATCCTTTAAGCACAAGCCATCATCCATTTAAGCAACCTGGTTGGAAATCACTTTAAACAGTGTGCATCAATTAGCACAGAAAAGAAGTGACTCATTCAAAACAGTTGTATTCCTTTGATTTTATTCATAGATTGGAAATGTGTTTTTGTTTTAAAAGTTAATTTCCTTTTTAGTGTTTATTAAAAGCGTATGTCAGTCATAATCTCCAATGATTGAAGAGGAAAGCTCTTTTTTTAACTGCCTTAACATTTCAGTTTTCTTTGATCTCCAATTCATTATTTGTTAGGATAATGCAAAAACACACATCTGCCTGTTGTACCTGAATGTTTGTTCAAAGTGCGGTGCTGCCCTCGAGCATTAGATCTGATGTACTGCTTCACAAAGGCTCTACATGAACAGGATTGTTGAAGCCGCAGTTACGATTGTCATTTTAGAGGTTTCCTTTGGAAACAGAAGAGCATGTCCTAACATAAAAACATATCAGATAAATCTGTTATCACTTGAATCTGACATTATGGTAGTTTGTCTGTAAGCATGTTCATACATGTCTGTGTTTTTAATGCTTAGAATGACAATGTTTTGTTTTAAAGACTGTATTCATGACCATTCCCCAGATGTGCGATTTGTAGACAGAGGGTGAATGATTTAAATATTGGGAGCTTTAGATCTGCCACAGCTTGTCAGTCAAGTTGATGATTTATTGTTATCATTATCCAAAATGTCTCCACACAAAAGCTGGCTTTTAAAAGTAAATCAATAGAATTTGACTTTTTTAACAAACTGGGCTGAAGAATGTTTTCTGTATGTTATCAAGAAGCAAAAATCTATTTCCCCCTGGTGCAACATCTTGCTTTAATAATTGTCTCTTTACTTAATCTACCTCAGGTTCTACTGAATGCAAATGTCATGTTTTATTCATTGCAATCTATTCTAACAGTGCAACTGTTTTTTTCCCACATCTTATATAATAAAGGGCACTATATTAGTACATTTGAGTCGTACATTTGAGTCGACAAGATGTAGAAAGGTGTTCTTAAAGTGCGACTAAATGGAATAAAAAAACTGTAAATGAGGTTTTCTATTCTCAGACAGATTCTTGGTACAAACCCACTCACCTACTCTGAATGTGTATATATTTAACCATTCAGCAGAATATGAACACATTTACAACACTTACCAGTTGAGGAGTATGATAACACCAAAATGACTTTGTGTTGTTCTTTTTTCTTTCTTTGGCTGTTATAACATTAATTGATAATTTTGAAATTATTTCCATGTTTGTGCAATATTATCTCTTCCTGATATAAAGTGAAAGAAATGGGAAAGCTCTACTGTTGAGAGAGAAATCATTAGGAGCATACAGTAGTTTTGAATGATTTACTTTGTTTGGTAATTTAACCACTTTTAATTGTTCACCTGTTTAATGAGCGTTTGTGTTTTCTATAGTTGTTTTTTTTGTTTCACATACCAAACCAAGCAGTTTTGATCTAACTGGACCTTAATGTATTTCGAATCTAGTGTAATTTTACCTCATTTAGTCAGTGCCTAGTTTAAAGACAGAGGACCTAATGTCCCCACTCATGATTTTAGATACATACATGAGCCTGTGCATTACACTGGGCCCAGTGACTGGGTATGTTTGCACGCCCAAACAAATAATTACATTTCCAACAAGACGAAGTGTGTTCCTGATAAACATGCAAAAAAGATAACAACCAAATGGAAAATAAATCTCCTCTCATACAAGTCCTTCTTCAAGCATTCACTGAAAATGATTACAGACTTCAATGGATGGATTCTTAAGATTCCTTCAGAGAAAATTGTGAAATCATTTTGTCCTCGTTTATGTTGTTGCAGTTTGGCAACATGTAGCAATAATGAGCATTTGCTTCTGTGCCTTCAGAGGTTTGAACACACGTCATGATACTGGACTTGGGTCACTAGTCTTTCCAACATACAGGCTGAACAGAGAATAACAATCACCTTACAATGGAATGTGTTGATGAAATTTGTCCTGAACAAAACCCAGTTACTCTGTCTTTTGAAGTACATGATTGCATTATATTAAAAGGTCTTCTTGATATTCTGAATGAATACATTTTGACTCTTTCATTCATTCTCTGTTTGTGTTATTTTAAATCAGATGCACTTTCCTTTTCCTTCAAGCAAGGGATCTATAGCAGTAGAGCTAACTCATTTAAACTTAACCAGATTAAAAAAACCTGCAGATTGTCTACAATGTTGTGTTTTAATAAAATGCGTTGTCACATGAGAAACTCCATTTTTGGTCACTTCTTTGGAAAAAGTCTAAATCAGTTTGCAAGACAAATAACATTTACCAACAATAATGCAGAAAAGCAGTTTGCACATTAGATAGCAGTGGCCTGGATAATAAACAGGAGGTAACATCAACCTTTAGCTGATCATCATTTTCACAATACATGGCCCTACGTGGCCCTTGCAGTACAAGACGTAGTGCCCTTCCAAGAAACACTAGTCATCCATCCATATTCTTTAGATCTGAAAATCCCACTCTTGAAGATGTTTGAGAGGAATGAAGAGCCTTGAGTTTCAGCACTTGAGTAGCTTGAGTTAGTAACATGGGATTGTCACATCAGTGATGCCTGGTCAATGAAGGTAGCCAAAGTGATGTCACGCTGAGATAGCCCCCCACAATCATGTGTGCTGAGAGTAATTTGGACCTGGGCAACCAAAATAAGACGGAGCATAGAAGAACATTTATATGAGACAGCTTCCTATTGACATACATGAAAGACAAAAACATCAAATTTAAATTCAAGTAATACAGCGCTTATATGCCAGCAGCAGTATTTTTTTTGATTAACACTGAAAGTAGATGAGGTATAAGCATAGTAAACAGTCAATACATTGAAATGTTGATTACAAATTAAATATAAATAAATGTTAAATAGTCAAGAAAGGTTAAAGTATAACGTGCAATAAAGTTAAGAGGAGAATGTCTGGATAAATCTAAATTGTAAACTGAAAATTGAAGTTCAAATTAAAGTAAGATGTTCTTTAATTAAAAGTATGTCTGGTCATTTAAATGCTCATTTAAGTTATTACTTTGAGCCCTTTGTAAAAAGTATGAAATATTTATGACCTGCAGGAATTCATTATTTGGCCACTTGGGGGCAAAGCAACAAGCAGGTAAACAACACTGACATTCAATCAGTTGTACATTTTGAAAAAAGTTTCTTTATATATACGTATATATATATATATATATTACATTTAAAATGTAAATGTTTACTCAGCTCTGTTTCTGTCTGGCTCTACAGTTGCTCACTGTGTCTGTCAGCTGGTTGCTGCTGAACAGGAAGTGTAAGATTAATGGACTGTTCTAGTCTTCTGACTACTCAAAGCACTTTTACACTGCATGTCACACCTACACATTCACACCCTGATGGCAGAGGTTGCTCTGTAAAGTGAACATAAGTAACTAATCTTATTCATATACATTCATACGCCGCTGACGAAGCAGCAGGAGCAGCTCGGGGTTAAGTGTCTTGCCCGAGGACACATCAGACATGTTGCTCCAGGAGCCAGTTGAGACTGAGCTAAAGTGAGCGTATCAAACTTTTGACAAAAATAAAAGATTCCTGATGCCCCTGAAGTGATCGTTTATGAAGCCTGAAATGTTGATATAAAGTTGATATTGTTGATAATCCTGATTATACCTTATTATAAACATTGAACCACTCAGGGTGATGATCCATCTTCTCTGCTTGCAAAGCCACTCTGGACATGAAACCAAAGGCCTGAAAGCAGAACATAAGAATCATCAGTCATCAGTGTATTTAGTTCCTAAACTGCAATACTTGATAAGTTAGGAACCTGATTGAAGTCTTTGAAAATAAACTCTTTGTAAATGGCGTCCCGTCCCACAACCTCCACCCATTGAGCGCTTCGTAGCAGTGGTAGAAGGTGGGTCCTCTCCTCCTCAGTTAGACTCTGAATTTTACCAGCCTTATGGGACAGAGCAGGGGTAATAGTCAAGCAAATCTGAGAGGGGCCGTTTCAAAAGCACAAACTGTGATTGGTTGCACATGATCCCATCTGGATACAATAAGAGGCTGCATTCCTGCTTTAAAAAAAAAACGATCTGGTTCAAAGGTATGTGGTTGGTGGTGGGAGGTCCGGGGTTACCATTTGTTCCCTCCTTCCTAATCTTCACACATGATGCAGGATCACATGAAGTTATTTATTCTCAGCTTTTGTTTTTACTGATCTAATCATTTAAATTTCACCAGAGATATTTGGCAAACATTTTCAAAAGATATTTGATAATCTTTCTTCATTAAAAGAGCATTTTGAATTCTTGAGAACAAGAGTAACTACATGTTCCAACCACAGCCTAGAGAGAGCAACTGGAGTGACATCACAGGGTATCTTAGCAACACTTCATTTTCCAATCTAATCAGTAAAGTGAATCAGCACAACACAAAAAAACCTGCTTAAGCTTTGCTTATTCGTCACACACACACTGGTTAAACACACACTGAGAGACTGAATGTGAATGTGTTCACTTGTTTCCTATCCCTGGCAATTATTATTAAGTATGTAACAGCATCTATAGTAAAATATTATTGTCTGAGAAAACATGGTGACTAAACAGTAGTGTAAGGGGATAAGTACAATACTGTGTGGCACACCGGGAACACAGTGTAGAGAGATTGTTTACTTACCATGTTTGCAGAGTGCTTTCATGCACAAAGGATGTTCAGCTTCAGCTCCCTATTGCTCAAACACAAATCTACTATGGCAGCTAAAGAGAGCAACTGGGATGAGTCTTTTCATGAGCAGTGGGTCCTACTTAGCTGCCCCTGCAGGAGCCTGAGTAAAAATCTTTTTGACGATAAGGTTACTAAGCTACCTGTCAGCATGGGTTCAATCATTTACTTTAATTTATTGTGTAGAACATATACGAGTTCAGCTAATGTAGCTGCATTTAATACAGAATATACAATACAGCAGTTTTTACTGTAATACATAAGGGGATTATTAAATATTGAATTAGTCTATTTTCCTTATGTATTGTACTTTTGCACACACATGAAGCTAAAATCTAAATACTAGTACACAGTTAAAGATGTCACTTTTCAACAGGACAGCACTCAGCACTGCCCTTTCGCTGACTGGAGTTCATGTCAAAGGTTAATGAGCTGCTCCTGTGGTTGCCCTGTTGAACTCATCTGTCACAGCAAGCGCTTAAGGAAATGAACTAGTTACTCAAATGAGGAGAGGGAGAGGATGTGACAAGTAGTCAGCATTTAACAGTCGGCTGGATTGGGAAATGAGAAGATTTCTTCAGTGTGAGGAATGTGAGCTGGGATTCAAATCATCTGAATGGAGCCATGTGGCTGCTTGAATTTATATCCCTTTATAATCTACATCAATGCACCAAAGTGTCTATTTTATTCATCATTATCATCATTCATTATTTTAGTCATCATCACAACCATCATCATCACAAACTGGTCTTGGTTTGTGATGTATTGAAGTCACTTATTCCACCAATTGTGCAAGTATGCTGCCCTTTGACCATTTTTTATATAGTCTTCAGAGTTATAAAGATGAGCCGTGGAAGTGTCTATATTCAAATAGCACCATGGAGCCCAGGGGACTGCTAATAGCAAGTCTGATTTTATTTATTCTTGTTACTAGCAGCCTAGGAGGACATTTAAAATCAGGCGAGTAGTCTATGGAGTTATTTGTGTTTTATATACATCATTTAGGTGTTTCATCTAAAACCGACAAAGGTATTCCCGATGAGACGATTAGACACAGGATTCTCCGACTATTCATTTCAATGTTTTCTTTTTCAAGATTGTTGTTCCAAATCAATGTGTGATCCCCATGATGAAATTTAAAATCTAATTATATCACATAGATGTGTATGTATTCTGAGAAATAAGTCAATAGTATTGAGTCAATGTTATGATCTTGGTAATTACATACCATTCTGCTTTCTTGTATTTATGAGGCACAAAAACATTTGTGTATCAGCTGTAAATCAATGTCATTTTGACTTAATGCAGGGCCGACTCTGAAGATGGACCAGGCTTTATTGACATTTCAAAATCAGCTGACTGAAGAAGTGCAGGTCTTCTACACCACAGATTATTGCTACAAGGTAAAACAAATAATAATATTATATATATATACAGTATATAAACACTTATCAGTCAATTCATCGGAGTATCTAGTTTCTCTGCTAAGAAAGATGTGATTCAGTCAGCACAGTTATTTGGCAACATGCTTTACTCTTAAAAAAAAGGTTTTTGAGCAAGAAAATAAATGTTATGAATGTTCTTTAATGAAACAAATCTCTTTTTTTTAAATTCTCACATTTTGTCTCAAGACTTTTATAATCACAAATTTAAATTTATGGCCCTCAACATGCAAAATGACTGTCAATTCAAAACATCCTGAAGGTGTAACAGAAAAGTAATTAGAAAACTTAAGGCTGATCAAATGTGCTTTTCATAATGCTGATAGTATTGTTTAGAGATCAAAAATGAATATCTAATTGTGCACATAAGCTTTCAGATCTATGATGGCCTTTTTTTGTTTCATTTTTGTATTTCAACTGGAGGATATTCAGAGATTGGAGAAGGGAAAACCTTGATTTTTCACAAATAAATCAAAAGGTGTCTGACGACAGTAAAATAAGTGTGATTTTTTTTCATAAGTTGTCTTTACCAGCACACATATTTTGCACCTTTGACGTGTGCATGTTCCTTTTGCATAAATTGTTTTGTTTGTAATGCTCTTTCTTTATTATGTCTTTTTGCCCAACTTTAGGAGCGGAGAACATTTCATTTTACTACTTGCGTAGTTGTCAAAGACCTTTGAATCCTACAACCTTTATACTTGTTATCAGCATGACCTCATTGGATTTGTTTTGCTGTGATGTCTTAAGGGGCCCTTGAGGGCTCTACACAACTGCTTAAGAAACAGAATGATTATTTTACACCCCAAACTTTTGAGTGTAAATTACATTAATTGAGCCTTTCACCTGTTTTTTTCCCCTTAGTGTGTGTATCAACACATGGTCACTGTGAAACCCAACAACAACAATGAATCGACAGTCATCAGCTCAAAATTTACCCTGACTATGCAAGTGGAATCACAGAACAAGAATGCAACTCTTTGCAGGTAACACATTTAAGACACCTATATTTTAATATGAATCAATAACATCAATTTTACCTACAACCCACAGAGGCAAATATATTTCTTTATTTCCTCTACTCATATTAACCCAGCCTTTGGTATGTTATTGCTATTTTTTCTAGACATGTGGTGTCGTCGTGATAGTGTCAGCAGTCTGTAACATTATTCACAGGGGTAATCCTGACCTGCTTTCCGGACCTTATGCCCCCCCTTAAACCAAATCAACATGTATTGATCCGGAGCCTTTGGGGGGTTAATAAGACTTGACATTCCATTACTGATAAAAAGAGCTCATCAAAGCTTCAAAGCCACGTGTCTTTAAGAAGCCTCAGCAAGGATGTTTAATTTGTAATATTCATAAACAATTAGAACTGGCAAGAAGGAGGTGACTCCCAAATGATAGTTCTTCTTTTGGTGGTCACCTCTAAACATGATGCAAGAGAGTGAGTTGGAAGATCACAAGCCTTTGGTGCTCTTCTTTGACCTCTCAGAGGACTGGCCTTGTGTGTCCTAAATCAATGCTGAGGTCTCTAACAAAACTGAACTCCCATTGATTTGCTTTTCCTTTTGAAAAAAGACTCCAAGTGATAGCTAGTATATCATCCCAACAGTGGATCAATATAAACGTGTAATGCATGGTTTGGGGCCGCAAGTGGGAGACGAGTGGACAGGACACTTTGAGTTTCTAGACACTAGATGGTGCTCCTGAGCTTCATAGATAAAAATCATCGGAGTGACAGAGACTCTTTCTGCTGTCAAACCTGCAGCAATAGATACAAAGGTTAAGTTAATGTATGATTTAAAGGAAGTGTTATTTCAAAAGTTCTCCAATAAAAAAAAGAGTACCTTGTACTTTTATAGACCAAAACCAGTGTCTGAATATTTCACTATTTTGGATGCAGATGGAGTCGGACGTATGGAGAAGATGGTCATTACACTATTTGGATCAAACTGTCAGAGGCTACCGGTAATGCAAGCTGCATCCATACTGTGGATAAAGTACCACACAACGCATACCTACGTAAGACCCAGAATGATGATATTCAAGAAACATTTTTGAATAGTTTACCAAAGTGACAGAGAATTTAGCCTGTCTCAGGTAAAGCTTTTAATAATCTCTATACTTCTTGGAGTGGTAAAGAAGAGATCATTTTAAACAAGATATCTTAGCTCTGATATGTTATCTCTTGTGACGTGATGTGTATTGACCAGATAAGGCATGCTTTGTTGAAAAGGGTTAAAAGAAAGGTTTTCTGACTGTTCTGAAGGCCAGGCTCCATGCATGGAGGATTGTGGGTAATACATTAGGGAGTGTGGAAGGATTAGGGCGTAATGGGATTTTGAAAGCGTCACTCTACATAATGTACACTCTACTCAACAATATTGCAGATTATATCGTACATCAGACTTTTAAGGCCAAGTAGCCATTATCCAAGCAGATACAGTCAGTGTGACTACACCCAACACAGTATGATGAGCTTCCATTAGCTTCACAGATCGGTGATTATACAGACTCCCCATGGGACCTGCTCAGCTTAAGTAATGGCCTGGTCAGCAGTTTAAGGCAGGTTAGAGTTGCCTTGTTAGGGATTTTAAAGTTACCTTTAGTGTCTCAGATTGATCAGCGGTGGGGCTTCATGAGGTAACTTTTTGAATGCAGTGTTTTTCAAGGACATGTTTCTGTGTAGCTGCTATCAAATCTCCTCTTCAGTCATTACTATTTTTTCTTTTTACCACAAACAACAAGCAAGGGCATAATTCTCACAAAGAAATCCACAATACTGACTGTTTTTTTACTCATCTGAATTTATTTAATCCAGTTGATCTGGATGTCCGTAATTAATATTATTTTTAGTTTACTGTAAGTAATGGCACGAGCATTGCTATTGCACAGGTGTTTCACTTCTGACGATGACGCAACTTTAAAACTGATTGCTTACATTTCAAGGCCTCCAGTGACAGCAAGGAAGGGCTTCAGTAAACTACTACCTTATCTATCTTTACTGTTGTTGACAGTCCAATTAGCAACTTGAGAAGTAAAACGGAGTTGATGTTAAGAAACAATGTCTAAATGTGGGTTTTTATCTGCACCTGCATGCAGCTTTCTGTTTAAAGACTTAAATGAATGCTAAACCTTCAATGGATGAACGGATTCCTTCAAATGGATCGCTTTAACCGTTTTGCTCTCAAAACAGTCTCTTTTCCATAGATTCCATAGATTAAAATGCAAGTGCTACTCCCTCTTAAAGTGGATACCAAAATACGTTCAAAACTAAATTCCTGCCACACACATCCTGCATTTCAATGTAGACTCTGTAAATAGAGATTATTTGCTTTATGACATTTCCGTCCAAGGGGAAAAAGTGACCACTGTATCCATAGTGGATGTCATAGAATGGATTTAGCTAAGATTCAAAAGGCCTTTTTTTCAGTGCAGTACAATATTTACAAAAGTGTACATATTGTCTTCATATATCCTTTCCTCAGATGCAAAAAGACCATATAGCTCATTAGCTTTAGCAGCAAAGCAGTAATACACTTCTCCAGTTTTTCACTGCTGCTAATGTGGCAAACCTGCATTTTAATTTAGACTCAGATGTATTAAGTATCAAATTAGTTGCACCGATGTTTTGGTTGAAACTTTTTCTGCAAAATGCAGTGATATAATTAAATCAAATAAGCAACCTTTGTTCAAAGATGAAACCGATGCAGAAGAGCAGACATTAACATGTTTACAACCTGGTACAAAAAAAACACTAATTGTACTTGGGGAACCTTTATTTATAACTCCTCCATTTTATTTTTTTTGAAGGACAATATTGTTACATAACAAGTTGAGTAGCTCACCTGACTGATGGGTGGGCACATTGTAGCTGTTTGTTGGGAGGCTTAAGAGCGACCTCAGCTCCAGCGCTTTTGCCTGTCAGATTGAGACTGCATTTCCAGCATGGCAGCCGTCATCGACTAGCTTCCAAAGCGCCCCCCCCCCCCCCAGTAAGCAATAGGTGACGTCACTCAGGCTTCGTCCACTATTATTTAGTCTATGGTTTTACCCCTCCCACTTCTTTGTGTGATGCCCTCTGGAAGTCCAGCTTTTCTCTCTCTATTTGTTTCCTCATCCTTGTTCCAGTGTTGCCTTACATTTCCTTTTCAAATGTCTGCATGGTTAGATTACCCAGAGCTGACGAGTTGTTGGATTGAGCAAAAGCTTTCCATTAGGTTCTTGTTTGTCACTTGAGGAATCTCCTTTGACACTGATTGATTGACAGAAAGCCACAGAGGCGAGTATAGCAGACAGTTTGGCCTTCAAGTTAAAGAGTTAAATCCTATGATGATAGAGATGTGCTGTATAAATCACCAGACTTTTCAACAGAAATAAATTGACATTGGCTGACATTAACACATTTTACATTTGTTAACGTATCCTATTCCTTTCAAGCTATCTTGGTGGCAGCTCTCTTTCTGGCTCTAATTGCTCTCTTATTCATTGGAGCACCCTACATCTACAGGTACTCTTTTTTTGTTTTGTTGCATCATTCACAATGGAAAAACTTAAATGCACTGATTTCCCAGCAGAACCAGGCTGATAAAACTTGCCATCCCATTTCCAGCAGACGTTGTACAACCAAATGTATTAAGACCATTTGCTGCCAAATGGATAATGTGAGTAAAATGCTTCTTCTCATTCATTCTTCAGTTAAGTGTCTTCATAAATTTAATAACAAGGCAAAAATGCATGATTTTGATTATTAGATTCCGATCAATCATTGAAAGTCTAATTGATTTCTCTTAAATGACTGCACTGGTCTTCATTTCGTTGGGACTATAAAGATCTCAATATGCAAAATGTTCATCAATAATGTACAGTATGTTCAAGGAAAAAGGTTGGAAACATTTTCAGCACCTATACATGGGGCTTTTGTGTTGTAAAAATCCTGTTAGAAGAGTAGTACAACAGGTTTATGAACTAGTTTAATTTATTCCCTGCGGATTTATTAATCCACTAAAGTACATGAATGGTTTTATGTTTTTTAATTTTGTGAGACCAAAATCAGCCTTGACACAATCACTCCATTTCATTATTTTCATTGGCCATCTATGCACTCTACAATGCAAACCAAAATTGTTCTGAGCCTCCAGTCATCAAGCCCTCGGAGACACTAATGGGATGATTGATACAAATGTTAGCAGAGCCAATTGTACAGCAGACTTACATAGAAGCAATAGAGCATTGTATCTATCCAATCATCTTCCTTGTTGGCAATAGCTGCTGTGTATTTATGGTGAGCATGAATGGCCTCTCTCACTATTCTAGCAAGATGTCTCTGTTTCCCATATGCTGTCTGGATGGCATGCAGATCCATCATAACATATTAGTGCTGGTGTCTTCCTGATCTGGCTCTTTAAAGTGCTGTATGGAGACCAGTGAGTCAGGCTAATCCAACTGGGAGGGCAACAGGCCAGGGTCATCTTGGCTGCCTTCACAAAGGAGGAGGGAGGCAGGGGGGCTGAAGGCGTCACCGTACAGCACAAGTTGACCAACATCATTTTGAGGAATTTTGAACCATGGAGCAATTTAGCTTTTAAGTTTTGTACATTTTTAAACTTACATAACAATAACAGGAAAGTCATCAAATGTTTTCATTACGTGTCATTTTTAGTGGTTGCTATAAGTATATGAAACATTGTCATTTTGTCTATTTGTTCTGTTTTTGTATATTATAAAGTACAAAGAATACAACAAATAGTATAAACGTTTAAAGACATTATCATTTTTATATATTGCAACACAAGGGGGCTCACAGCCGATTAGCATAAATTATTAAAGTGATATTATCGTTACCAATTTGCTATGTAAGTATTTATATTAACTGTATAAACTGTAATAGGAAGAAAGAAACAATATTATAAACCAATTTCCAATTACAATCATCTTGGGCAGTGATAAAACCAGCCAGAGAAAGTTGAGAAAGATGACCCTAAAAACATTTCACAAAGGGCCTGTGTCCTATTTCTCTGAATAGCAAAACCACATTTTTCCTGGTATCTCTTTTTCTGATAAGGTAAAAGTCATTAGAAAAAACTATAGGGAAGTTTTGGTTTCAGCCATTCTTGCAGTACATTTAGAAGCAACTATCTTAGTGCATCTTCTTCAATCGATACAATCAAAAACTACCAAATGTATTTTTTTCAGTCTTTTTCACAGTAACAATAGGAATGATGTCTCCTGCAGGTTTAATGTTAGAGTAAGGGCAAATGTAAGTTTCTTGTTGTTTTTTGCTGAAGGAAACTGAGTTTTAGGTCTATTCAGATGATTCAGTCAGTATTCTGGGGCTAATAGATCATTTACTTGACATGGTCTCTAAACATTGCATATACTCTCGATGCCCAAACCTGCATATACAGCATATATTGCATACTCTCGGTGCCCAAACCTCACCAGATTTCAACTAATAAGAAATGTTTGGTGACGCGACACTGTTTTGCAAAAGAAGAGATCATGGTTTGGGCCAAAAATAAGTTAATGTTACATTTTGGTTTCACAGATCTGAGACGTGTGCTTATGCCCACAGGTAAAAGGACACAACTGTGCCATGGGTTTAATATTTTGTTTAGTGTCACATTTTAGAGGTAGCTATAGATGTTTCTATTCACTGATGTATGATGTTCAAAGTGGACAACATTTGTTGAGAGAAGTTCTTTAAACCCACATCAGGGAACAGTAAGTATGGATTATAGTTCAAACACTATAGAAGAGAACAAAAAATTATCTTTCACAAAAGGTGATCTTGAAAATAGTGACTGAAGGGGAACTGTTTGTCTAGAACTCTGCAAAAATGGTTGCTTAGAAAAACACCAACTAAAACATATAAGGACATAAAAGCTAAGAGGCCTGACATACAATCCCAATCTTGATGATTTAAAAGAGATTTTGAAAATAGTGATTACACTATGGAGTGAAGTGCAGTGGAGTGAAAAAGAGTAGGGAATGAAATGGAAAGAGTTTATGAAGCCAATTGCTAATGTTCTATGTTTGCTTGGCGCCATGATCTTAGTGATTAAACAAACGCTGTTACTTCTCATACTCCAAATGTTTAGTAAACCTTAAGGCCACAGTTCTAACATTACTTTGTCTGTCTCTTCATTGTGTGTACAGGATGGAGGACAATCATTTGAAGATGAGCACAATACGACTAAAACTAAACCAACACGTCTGTGCTCTCTGGACACTTTTCGAGGGTATGTAGACCATCAACAATCATCCATTTTATCAGTCTATCACCACATGTGGCTCCTTCACATGCTAATTCTTTTAAGAGCAGTCTAAGGCATGATTTAGATCTACAGCCCCGGCATAATAAATAATTACAGGGGTCATAGTCTGGCCACGGGCTCTCTCAAGCTTTTGTTATCAGGCCGTGTAGCTTTGGGCATGATTTCTGATATCAGTGCATTGTGGGTTTGGAACAATGTGTTTCTGTGAGACAGGAATGATGTGTGTGATTGAATCTGGGCTCCCTGCTTCCCTTAATTGTGGCCTAGGGGTAGACACAAAGCACGCCTCTCTGAAAACAGGATGTTGGTGTGGCTTTGACCTGCCCCTTGCCAAATAATTGATGTAATAATACTCAACATATCAGCACACATCCAGACAGCCATAGATCTCCTGCCAGCGAGATGCAATCCAGAATCACAAAGGCAGCATCCAGGAGACAATTGGCATCTTCTACTGTGGCTTCCTTTTGGATGGAGAGTAATCTGAAACCAATATGTTTTAAAGAAAAATACATATTCCTTTAGTGGCAAGTCCTGCTGCAATCCTGGTCAATATTTTAAGCAAAAATGTCACTCTTGGGTTGAAGATATTATATATTGATGTCATAAATGGTTATGCTGGATATTCTGATACCTTACAACACACTTAATCAATCATTGACTCAGCATTCATGATCAATGCTGCCTGTGCCTTCCCAGTCCTGTGACTTATGATCCTTACTCCTGATAAGTAACAACTTTCTACCCAGACCAGACACATCAGTCATCTGCCATAAATGCTGGAACATTTCTGAAGGCAAAATGCTTTTCCTCTGGGCTGAAAGGTTTTTCTGATCATTGCTCAGGCTCCACTGACATGATATACAGAGAACAGTCAGCTACTGTTGCACCTTCATTTTTCTAAAAGGATTTGTATTTTAATCTTGCGCCACACTGCTAAAAGCCTGTCGCCTGTTTCCTAACAGCAGAAAATCGCATTGTCAGTAAATAGTAGTGCCATACAACAGAGTGAACAAATTTTACAGCAAAACAATGGATCGGATTGCGTTTCACACCTTATGTCTAACTCATTCTGTGCCTTATTTTCACTAAGCTCAGTATTTCCCTCTGGTTTGTTTTATGTAGCTCTGAAATTTGCCACAAAATAACCTAACAATGTCCACTGAAGTTTGACTTTATTAAGGTCGGACACTCTGCTGGCTTAATGCTTTGCAGTGATATACAAAGCTAACTATCTGATAGTACTAAAACATCTTTTATTTTATTTCTCAATGTGGTTTGTCTAGAATGGTGCTTACATTATCATTCAAACACCAAGGATCTTTTCTTTTAAAATGATGGGACAACAAAGGGTCCCAATAAGCCCCAATACTGCAAGGATATTCAGGTCTCATCTGGCTTGTCACTTATGGCTTTGTCACTATGGCGACTAATGGATCTTCTTCAAAATTAAGATGATTGCCTGGATGGGTAATTGTTAGTGTGTATGCGTGTATGCGTGTAGGTGTGTGTGTGTGTGTGTGTGTGTGTGTGTGTGTGTGTGTGTGTGTGTGTGTGTGTGTGTGTGTGTGTGTGTGTGTGTGTGTGTGTGTGTGTGTGTGTGTGCGCGCATGAGAAAGAGAGGGTGGGGGTACATGGGCATGCGCAGCAGGATTTATGCTTCTTAAAAAGCCCTTTGAGATGATAGTGTCTGATTAAAATCTTGTATCAGCAGGTTGGGGCTAAAAGAGGAGTAATGGCTTGGGTGCACCCTTTAATTGAATCTTGGCCGAAAAACAAGAGGAGGCAGATGATACAGTGCACCTTATCAGACAATTTAGTTCCTATATCTTGTCCTTATCTTGTTATGTCACCTAAGAACACTTATATAGATTGTATTGTTTGACTAAACAACACATGATTCAGAAACATGAATCAAAACATAAACAAAACAAGTACGTGGTATGTTAAAAGGATTAAATCCAACCTCAGGAGTAGCTCAACCATGCTAGCATTTACTGTACATCATGTAATTGTCTATATCCATTTTCTGACATGCACGGCAAACACCTTTTTTCCTCCAGTGTCTGATTCGGTGAGGCACTCCATCACACGTGGTGCAGTCTTGGCCAGGGCTAAAGCATAAAGTGTATCATATATTAGATGCAAAGTCTGTAGTCAGCACTGCTCGAGGAGATTCAGAGGACAAGTGTTCATTTCCTGAGTGATTCATAAAGCTAAGATTGCATTACCTTGCATTTGGAGTGTGACAGCATGACAGCCTCTCTTTTAGTATCTTTACCTTTAACACAGAAGTTTATATTGTACTGAATGTATTAGTTGTGGTAATAAAACACTTAGATATAAAATCTTATTCTGTATTTAGTATTTTCTTATGATAGTTTGATTTAAATGTGTTTGTTCACCATTTTTCCAAATATATTAATTATTTACTCAACTGCTTGAAAGGCAAATGCAATCATGACTCATTTCAATTATTTTGTTGTTAGTGTATTGATTTCCAACCAAGGAACTAACCAGGGGAGCGTCAGGCTTTTACTGCTCTGAGGTTGTTAAAATTAGAATTGGACATTATCACTAAATCATCACAACACACTGGATGGTTCAAACAAAGTTATTCTGGTAAGCACAGACGTGTTGGATTATTCTGTTGGGAATTTTACAACGAAAACAGCTCAAACTGATGAGGTCCCAGGACATTGGCTAGGATCCATTTGTTTAGTTCCTTATTGTTATTCTGTCTTTGTAGGTTTGCCTTGACAGTCATGGTTTTCGTGAACTACGGTGGAGGAGGCTACTGGTTCTTTCAACATGCACCATGGAATGGTAAAGTAAAGTATAAGGCATGCCAAAGAAATACAGCTTATACCACAGCTTTTTCATTCTATTTGAATCTCCTCCTTGCATCTCTTTGAGTGTCATTGAAGCAAATTCAATTAAATTCAATAACTTTTAACAGCTCATACAGTTCAGAATGTTTCATGGAAGTCGTTGCCATGTAAAAAAAAAAATCATATTGCCATCTTTAAAGAGGACATATTATCCCCCTTTTCCACCTTTTCAAACAGTCCCCTGTGGTCTAAATGAAACATCTCTGCTGTGCTTTGGTCAAAATATAACATGAATCAAGCACCAGAGGAGGTTTGTGACCCTGTATAAACCAGCTCTCTCAGAACGCTCTGTTTTGGTGTGTGTGTCTCTTTAAATGCAATGCAAAAAATGCAAATTAGAAAAAATCTGACATCATTTTTTCAAGGAGTAACTTTTCAATACATTTAGTAAGTTTCTGTCTCCCACTTTTAAATTTTACAATCCACTGAATATAAAATTACAATGGAGAAAGAAAACAAAATGATCTTTGAAAGAAGTTAGATATTTTTTTGGAGAAGTCACAACCCTCATAGGAAGTTAATTAGGAACAGTCGGCATAACTCCTCCCTGTAGCAAATAATGCATCCTATTTCTTTCAGTAACAGAACGTTTTTCATCCAAACATGTCACTGCAACTTTTATTAAATCAGTGTAACAGTAAAGGGGTGTTCTGAATTCATATGTTTATGACAGTGTTGTTGACACATCCAAAAGGAAGTATTGATTTCCTGAAATGTTTGATTCATCTTGTCTTGCTGCAGAGAAACTATTATCACATGAGTGCAGATATTCATTAATCACACATTTACAAATGGAAAGGTAAAGGCACAGGCTTCACTTTAAGGACAAATAATTGTTTTTAGTTCTACTTGTATATTTGATTCAGGACATTAGAAAATAGCAAGAACTGTGAAAACTGAGAAGTGACATAAAGTTCCAGTATTTCTGTGTTAACTTTTCTAACTGTATATCTCTGGATGTTTTGCAGGTCTAACTGTCGCAGATCTTGTTATGCCATGGTAGGTAATGGTACAAGAGCACTGTCAAACATTTTCATTCTATTTTTATGATATTTTTATTTATCACACAAGTAATCACAATTTTGTATAAATATGTGTTTTAATAGCTTAATGCTGTCTTTTTCCAGGTTTGTGTTTATCATTGGAACTTCGGTGGTGTTGGCTTTCAGATCTATGCAGAGGAGAGGAGTGAGCCGGCTGCAGCAGCTACGCAAAATCACCTGGAGAACAGGTATCCTTGTGATGCTCGGCTTCTGCTTCCTTAACTACTCTCCAAGAGATGGGCCACGTAAGTTCAAAAATGAAGCAGTGGATTGTCAATGAAACAAAAACACTGTGTGTGGTTTTGTCTTTTTATGTACTGTACTGCTGGATATAAGTGAAAAACAGACTCTGGTTTGTCCAATAATATGTCACTACATATTACATGTACTGTATGGTACAATTGATAATTATCTCTAATGGAGACAGATAAAGGGTTTTCTAATATTAATGGACCAGAATCAGAATTAGACTCAACAACAACAGGAAGAGTTTATTATGTTGCATAAACATAAATAACAATAAATGCCTCCACATTTTATAGATGAATTGCAGTGATTGGGATTTACCTCTTTCGATGTGATAATTTACCTTTAATTCTCTTCACTGAGATCTGAATAGCTTGATTTTTGACTTTTGGCTTAAAAAAACAATAAATGCATATATACTGTTTAAAAAGCAAAAGGTTTTTTCAGCATTAATGTTTCATAGACAAAATAAGTTATTAAATACTTGAAAAAAACCTCAGCAAACTAATAAATGATAACTGATTCATACAAACCAGGAGTAATCCTCAGCTCCTGTAGGAGATGCTAAACATAGCCTATACATCACTAAAACTCAGGAGACAGATACTTCGGTGTTATGTATGTTCAATACTTAATTTCTGATCTGCAGGGATATTAGGGTTAAAGGAGGAGAGGCATGCTGAAAACACACCATTTTATTGTCCACCTAGGGATGGAAGGGGTGCCTTTCTCACATTAGCCATCCCCACTGCTAATGGACTTTCCTGGGTAGATGTCTGCATAACTGGGTTAACAAAAATATTGTTATTGTGTGTGCAGACTGAAAATCCAGCATCAGGGGACATTTAACAGAGGCAGATTGGGCAAAAACAACAAGGACATAATGGACGATTGCAAACAGATAGTGTTTCACCCTTCAGTTTCATGCAGCTGCTCTAGAGGCTGCTGCTGAAGCTGATCATAACATCACAGTGACTTTATCGTTAACTGCAGCTTTGCTCTTTGTCTCCAAGGACGTCCTCAGAATTTCAGTCCAATAACTAAATCAAATTAGAAAATAGAGTAATATCAACTGAATATGTTTGATGGTTTCAGTGTCCAACAGGAAAGAAAGGGTTTTAACCTCTGACATCACTATATACTTTTTACTGCTAGCTGCAATACCTAGATGTCAAATTTGTGTATTTGATTTGATCTTTTACACTTAACAGTTAAAAGCTTCCACTATTTGTTTGTTTCTTTATTCTTATTCATGTTAACAAGTTACTACAAAAGATAATTCAAGATGAGATCAGAAAGTCAAATTTGCAACTAGATTATGTCCAATTAAGAAAACTCTCTCTTTTTTTAAGTTTTTGACTCGGCTACAGTATTTGCAGTACTTTCTCATTGTTTATTCGTCTCTGCTCACTGCCCATGGAACCATATTGTTTTTGCTGAAAGTGCAGAGATATGGTAAGCAGACAGCAGGGCTTTTACCCCCTGAAATGTTATTGAATGTCAAAGGGATCAAAAACTATTGATTATCAATTGAACCAAAAAATGTTTACACATTCCTACAGTTCAGCTTCAAACGTTCACCTCAACAGTGATTGTTTATTTAAGTGAATGTAAAAGTATACAGTTTATTATCTTGATCTTAATGTAACCTACAGTTTTACAAAATGTGTCATAAATAAGAGCTTTACTGTTCCTCCCTTCCCTTCATTTCCGCCACTTATTTGATTTGTCTGAATCAATGATTGGGGTAACACTGTTTTTTCGCCACTTTGTTCAGCAAAGAGGTTTTCAATTAACTAATGTGTAGATTACCATCAATCTCTCAACCACAAGCCAATCCTTTCCTTGTTGAGACCAAGAGATAACTGGGAATCTTTGCTTTGATTAGCTTCCCACTTTCCTGACATGTCCATATCCTGAAGGCTGAAATGATTTCCCAATGACTGTTACCTCCTTCAGCAGCAGTCATGGAATAATGGAGAATCAATTCATAGTTTAGATTTCTTTAAGGCATAAGGAGTAGTGACATAACAGCAAGTCTATGCTTATACTCGAGTTGTAAGTTTTATGAAATAATAAAATACCTTTAATTGTATTGCACATTTCTTAACAAAGTCACAAAATCATTGGTAGAGAAATGTGGAAAAGGCTAAATATAGTGAATGTAAGACAATTAGTTCAGATAAAAGCTGATTTATAACAATAATAGTGATAGATGAAATTCCTGATTGGGTTTTAAGTCATGTGGTTCATGCTGTTTGTTGTTGACTGTGTTACAGTTTCCTTGTCCTGGCTGAGAGTCCCTGGAGTGCTGCAGCGTCTGGGCTTTACTTACTTTGTTCTGTCTCTCCTGCAGACTTTCTGGGGCCAGAAAGAAATCCCTCCGACAGCGGTGAGCTGCTCTGTCAATTTCAATTTAGCTGGTCATTATACACCAGTAAAAATAATTTAAAGAAGTACAGCCTGACACACATTCATACATTTGCTAGTTTGCCACGTTAACTCCTTGGTCGATTTTGGTGATTCAATGTTATTCTGCTTGATGTGATAACTGTCCATATACAATACTTGAGTTAAAAGATTCAAACGTTATTGCAGTTTTTCACCTTAGGATCATTTATGATAACATTTGTGTTCCGTTTGATGTAGAACCATTTGGGCAACCCTGTTCAGGATGTGATCCTTTATTGGCAACAGTGGCTGATTATTATCTTGCTGGAGACTCTGTGGCTATGCATCACTTTCCTCATGCCTGTGCCCGACTGCCCAACGTAAGTCCAACAAGGCTCCTACTGTCACAGCAGTGAGTCTGATCTACTCACCAACCCAATGTAGAGACATGCTGTCAATTGTTCCATGATGAGATAATCTCCAGTTGAGGCTACAGGACTATAGCAGAGGTGTGCACCTTTTGTTTCTGATGTTATGAACTGCCATGATTTATGAGCATGTGGTGGATGCTTCTGAGGGCATAATTACCCAATCTCAGTCTGTCATGAGCAATAAGAGGAGGGAGGCAGAGGATCCATCTTCCTCGCTCTGTGTCTTCTGCTTCGTGATGCTTTTTTTAAAATCTTTTTTTTTTCCTATGCTTTGACCCTGTCTAATGTAACACTTACACTGTTAGTTCAAGTCCTACTGTTTTCCTAACAATTGGGTATTTTTTTCAACATCTATTCAATTTTCATTTTAGTGCAATGTGAGAATGTGTTGTAAACCCAGATCACCTACAAATCTTAGAAACAAGAGGCAGTCTTGTTAAGCTCTGTTTTTCATCAATTCTTTTGTTGCTACCTTTTCAACTATCTTAATCTTTTAATTCTAATTATACCATCGTTGCTTGTTACCAGAGGATATTTGGGAGCTGGTGGAATTGGTGATAAAGGTCTTTACCCAAACTGCACTGGAGGTGCAGCAGGTTACATTGATAGATGGATGTTTGGTGATAATATGTACCGATACCCCACATGCAAAGTAAGACCATCTTTTAACTCAGAATTCATTATTTTATTGCTTTATCATAAAAGCCTACTTGTGTAATTAACCTTAAAAAACCTTGCATTTCATGTTGGCTTGTCCAGGAAATGTATCTCACCACACAGCCCTTTGACCCAGAGGGGGTTTTGGGTACAATCAACTCAATCGTCATTGGATTCCTGGGGATGCAAGTAAGATGGATAATTTCGTCCTTTTGTTTGATCAAAAAGAGGTACAAACATTTTTTTTGTTTCGTTTTCAAATTTAGTTCAGCTTGTTTGAATGTTATTTATTGAATTATTAGAATTTTTTTCTGAAAAATTTTGATCAGTGAGGTATTTCAAGAAAGCAGTAAGACTATTGGATTAAATTTACAGTGGAATTTCATTTTAGAATCTCAGGAGGAGTAAAGAAGAAATGTGTGAATGGGTTAAGTGAGCACCTCATGTTCCCACAACATTGGCCCCCAGATTAACTGAAAACAGAGGCTTTTTATTATCAGGATGAAGCAAAACCTGCCCTATAAAGACTTACAAATTTATGATTAACTAATTATTATTTTGTAACAATAACATGCATGTGCTGACACGGGTTAAATAGATTATGCTATCTATCTATCCATTAAACATTCATATTTGTAATGAAAAAGATATGTTTCAGATTTATTTTACTTTACTCTGAGGTGATCAATAAAGTTCCTCATTTATCTATGTTAATAAGATAGTATTAGACAGCAGGGCAACAGTATATTCTGCACTTAAATGAAGGTCGTGTGAAAGACTGTTAGCCAAATTTCAAATGTGCAGCTGTCCATTTTTAATGACAAAAAATGCAACAGTATCTCTTATAACCATTTGTGTTGTGGGAAGCTGCCCTGCAAAAACAGCCACATTGCTCAATTCCCAGCGGGCGCTTTGCAACGACCCCATCAGTCAGCAAGCCTTAGATGAGACGCCAGGTGCCTGCTGCCCTCTTCTATATGTTCACCGTGCTAAAGTCATCAGCTGAAACATATTCATCATCACCAAATTAATCACATGGTGCAGATGACTTACGCTCCACATCTGCCTCAATAGAAAAGGGGAAATGTGTCCGCCAAGTCATGGACACAACGTTGACACCCACATCCCAGGCCTATTTGGTTACCCAAGGGCAAATACATGGTGTTTACATGGTATTTCTCATTAAATGTGTGATGATGAGTTGTGGTGACTGTGCTTATATTTACTTTCCCTTCTATAGGCTGGAAAAATTATCATTTTCTACAAGGGAAGGAACGTCCACATTCTCTCGCGTTTCATTGTGTGGGCTGCCATCCTGGTACGTTATGACATGTGGAGGTTTTAAAACACAGATAATGAACTAAATTGGTATAAAAGCCAATTGATATCGAGACAATAAATCACTTTCTGCCACTATAACTCACACAGAGCTGAGCACTTTTAAGTCCTTAACGGTGCACTATGGAGATTTGTTAGTGAAATTTGAAAGTTGGAGAAGTGAAACAATTCTATGTTATATTTTCTGAACTAAATACACAAACTCTACTCAAAGAAAAAATGGGTAAAAGCTACCAGGAGAGTTACGGTTTCACTGTTACGGGTTCCAGGGACCACATGTTCCTCTGATGACAGTTTGTGTATGGAGTTATGAACATATACCACAGAATCTGTACACTTCTCTAACTTTTAAATTCCTCTACCAAAACTACACAGTGCACCTTTAATATCTGACTTTGCCTTGCAGGTCAACTTTGCAGAGTGTTGTCCAGCCCCTGATAGCTACTGAAGCTATTCATTAGCAGGACATTGCAGAGGAAATGTGTGATCTCAATACAATAACACCACATCGATGTGTGGCTGGGTTTCCGGGCAGAAATGGGAATTCTAACTTCTCAGGGGGATACACTCTATCTCTCGTCGTCTGTGGGCTTCACATGTGGTTTTTGATTAGATGAGTTTAGACGACTGCATAAGGAACATCTGATGAAGAGTATGATTGGTTCATGTAGCCTACATGCATGAAAAGTTTCAAACATTTACAGACCAATCAGATGACAGCACGGATACAGTAATATAACTGATATAACTGATATTCCATCAATAGAATCAGGTTTATTGGATACGTGTTTTTGAATAGATTAAAGTCTATTCAAATCCAGAATTAAAGAAAGATTTTCATAAATCTACACCAAGGTAATTTGAGGTCCTATTGGTTTGGGGTCTGATTTCTTTCTGGGTGGTCTCAAAACAAGAAGAGAGGCAGGATGGCCTCTATTTCATTTAAAGGGGGAATGTGTCCCACAGGGAGAAGCTCAGTGATATGCGAGATGGGCTGTTTTGCATTTCTGAACCTGTGGAGGCTGTTAATCTGCTTTTACGAGATTGAGAGATAGTCACGTCGAAAGGCCCAGTTTTGCTGAACCGTGCTTGGCCACAGTTTCATTTACGTACATAAGATGCTCTAGAGGTGAACTCCTCTGCAAAATAGGATCAGTATGAGCAATCATGTTGTGGAGGCAGACATCCTTAACTGGCAGTCCTGTGACCTGGAGTGATGATGGAGCTGGAAGAGCTGGTAGCATCATTCAGCCTTTGAAATCTAAGTGAAGCAGAGTAAACCCAGCCAAAGAAAAACAGGAACAGAACCCATTACTTAATGTTGCATAGTTGTTGTATATTACTGTACTATCCACACAATTTGATATATAAGCTTAAGTCAGACTGGTATCTGCAAAAATGTAACTTTTTTATGAAGAAAAAAACAAACATTTTTTTAACCCTTCATTGGCCATAGATTTTTTCTTTCATAAGTTTAGCAAGTATTTGATGACAAACCAAAGTTTTGGATAAATTATGTTGACTTAATGCTGATGATAGATGAAAAATCTGAGTATTACAACTTTTCTCCGGTTTCTTGGATATAGGAAGTCAAGAAGTACAGGGGATGGGTCTTTTGTTTTTTCTGTGAATCAGGAAAAATCCAGTCTGTAAGAATCAATTGAAATTCTGTTGTGAGAATTAAATGTCATTAACCTAAATTCCTAAATGACAAATCTCCCCATTCTGTCTCTTGTTGTTGAATCTTATTGACTATCATTGTGGAGGGAATGACCGGAGGGGTGTGAAATAAATTACATCCATTTGGCTTCTCCCCAGAGGTGGAGTGATAAAGAAAACAGGATGAAAAACAAAACATTAGGCTGTTATGTTTTCCACTGAATCTCTTGGTCCAGCAAGTTAATGTTACATAGATTTTTGGGATAATATAAAAGATAATGATGTTTGGGTTGTTATATTCAAGATCATGCAGTTTTTAGCAATGGGATTACTTAACTTTAAAACGTTAACTGATAAAGAAAATAATAGTAACACATATGTTCTCATGATGAATTGTTTGCCAGGGTGAACAGGCCTTTTTAAATCATTCATGGAAAGATACAGACCATGTCAAGAGTAAGACTACAACATCATTTACCCATGTTAATGTATATTTCTTCTGATTTCTTTTGATGTCAGCAGCTTGGTCTATTTGAAGTCCCTTTTGAATGCAAGTGTGAAGTGTTTTCACCAACTGAGAAAGAAAGAAATCATTTTACAGATTGGCCTCATTGACTCTTTCTTACAGTCTACAGTCTATGATGCGAGCGGGCAGAACGCGCAGTACGATGGGTGGCGGGGTGAATCTTTAACACTAGGGCAGACTTTAGTTCACACTGTGATACAGGTGGCGATCGGAGTGTTTTTTTCAGCGCACACTGAACTTTCAGCGAGCATGAAGCAGCAGCTTTATAACCCGAGCTGCCAAGTCTCACGCATGACACCATGCCCACTATCTCTGACCGTGAGAGTCACTCAGCATCTGCATGCCGTGAAATTCACACAGACATGTCCTAAGACTGGTTTATTGATAGATTATAGATCACTCTCTTCTCTGCTTAACTTAGTTACATTTAAAAAGATTATCGATTGAATTTTCTGTTTCAAATAATCTCTCCAGCTCTGTACACAAAGTGTCTCTCATCCTCTGTGTGTAATGGCACACACTCTCCCTCTCGACCGACTATATGAGCTCTCTCTCCCATTCAGAGATTGTTTTGTAGTTATTAAAAGAATAATCAACTACAACGCTAAAATTGAATGAAAATCAGGGCAACAACTAGTTTGGAGCTTGTACCAGCGTTAAAGTTTCACCCCGCCACCCATCGTACTGCGCGTTCTGCCCGCTCGCCTCATAGACTGTAAATATTACGTTCACCTGCCTGGGAGCTGGAGTCTGACGTCACTTTCCTGCGCCGTCCACTTTGCCATTTCGTTTTCGAGTTGGTTTGAATTGTGAGAACTTTTTAGCACGGCAAGTTTGAAAACGAAAGACCTTTTAGTTTTCATTTGAATTATGTCATACAATATGCATACACAAAGAGTAAAAGTATAATGCAAACTGGATGACTGAATATTCATTTTAAATATAGGTCAAAAAAACTAAAATTCAAATTAGATAAATTAATTTTTAAACTAATTTTTTTCTAAAAAAACTAATTTTTTTTAGTCAAATAATACACCCATATTCTGAAAGTTAAAAAGCATTTCTGTTAATGCATTTGAATTTTCAAATTAGCTTTATCATTTGAATTCTGATCACTAATCGCTTCCATATTCTGGGGGGAGGCAGGAAGCAGAGTTGAAATGCCTCTTGTTTCAGACATGTGCTCTTAACATTAGCAGGTCTCCTCAGTGGAGGAGGGAGCTCATTTCTGCACTCGCCCAACCAGAGAATTGTTATTATTCAAAGGAGGCTCACAAAGAAGCAGAAAGTGTTTCTACAGTGAAGTGAACTGTAGTACGGTTTTAGTACATTGATATGCAGGGGAGGCTATGCATTCACTCTTAATAAACAACAGCCCCTGTTAATTAAAGTCCAACGATCAGACTCCAGAAGTAAGAGATTGAAATTGAGCGATTGTCCCACATACCAGCCCCATCCCACATCCTGCCGCTTGGATAGCCTGGAGACTCAATCCAGCCCCAGCTAGGCTATTTCAACACAATTGATTCTGTCATCTATACACATGATGGATATCCATTTTAAAGGCATGTTTTATTTGAGATCCACAGACTTGGGTTTCTATTTGGAACAAAAGTGTATCTACATGATATGTAAAGGTCAACAGAAGAGTAAATATTAGCTTTTATTGATGTGGAGTTCATATGATCATATACAGTTATCTTGTAAAGGTTAATTAGTCTGTGGAGTCAACATAGCCTCAAACGACTGTTATTCTTCAGTTGGCCCTCTAGAGATTATCTATCAGTGTGGATAATCAAATTGGCATTTTGCAGTATGATATTCTGTAACGTCATGGACCTTGTTCATTTGACTTTCAGATAATTGTTTAATCTGCTGGACTCACTTGATTCAGTTGCTTCATGTTTTAGCAGCCTAATACAGCTTGCTTTATCATCCTCCATTGATTTGAAATCTGTTTCATTCCCACCCTTAGGGAATCTCTGCAGCCATCCTTTCTAAGTGCACACGAGATGGAGGATTTATACCTGTCAATAAAAACCTTTGGTAAGTGCTTCCTGACCCTCTTAATCCAGCCACTTTTCTTCACAAAAGAAAGGATGGATTTTCCAACAGGCACAAATCAAGGATGCTAAAACACGTGCTTACTTCCCTCTTACGACAGCTACAACTGTAAATAATCACCCAGGCTGCCAGGAGTGTGAGGTGGAGCAGTTATACATCCTGCATGATCGCTTTTCCTTACAGCCAGCAAGATAAAGGATGTTTTATCCTCTCTACAAGGCACTCACTGTACATTTTACCAGCTCTGTATGATGAAGTGGGATCGGGCTCTAGCAAAAACCATCTATTTAATGACAGGGTAGTCTAACTGCTCCCAAACTATCTTTGCCCTTTTGTAAAAACAAGGCACAGCATCTAGTCTACGTGTGTAATCATTTTGCATTACAATACAGCGCCATTACTTGCTTAGACATAGACGACTTTACAACCTGGTATTGTACTACTCCTACTAATGTGATGCTATTCATTTTAATGTTGTATCAGGAAGAATACCATTCCGTCTGTGATGTGTAAGCTAATTTTTTATGATAATCCCCTGGGGTCCCCACTAACACTGTGCTCATCCCTCGCCATTACCTGCATGGCTTTTATAGGCTGTTCATCAAGCACAGGTTATTGAGCTCTTGCGCATGATCCCTGCCTGGATGTCTAGAAGTAATTACCTCTCAGCCAGAGTTCTTTTTGGCTCCACTTCAGCTGAGATAAAAATTTAAAAAGGCCAGTGTAGGGAGGCTGCTGGAGGCAGCCATTTTACATTAGATTATATTACATCAAACATTCTTGCACTTAGGAGCAGACAAGGACATGGCTTGTTGGCACAGCTGCATCGTGCATGTGCCAAGGATCCTCTACTAATGCTTTAGCCCAATCTCACAAACTGGCCCACCCTTTGCTGGTTTGTTTCAGGATTCCTTGGGGTGATTTACCTATAATAGAGTATAGATAGACTCCCCTAATTCACACCATTAACATTTTAATGTTTCCAGAATGAATCAGGTTAAAATGTTGTTATTGCTGTTGTTGTTATTGATGTAAAGTGTTGCTAATGTTCTCTCCAGGTCGTTGTCTTATGTGATGTGTATGGGCTGCTTCTCCTTCCTATTGCTGGCAGGCATATACTTTGTAACTGATATGAAGAGTTGGTGGAGCGGACAGCCATTCATATTCCCAGGTATGTTTAACAAATAAGAGAACTCAATGTTGTGTACCAGTTTCATGTAAAAGAATAATACTTTGAAACAGGATTGACACAGGATTTCACACCAATGCATAGTATTGTGCATTATGAGCAAACTTATGTGGGGTGTTCATCTCAATCACCCAATGGCCTTATGGCTAGTTCTAGTGGTAAACTTTCATATAATGCTCCCTCATTTTAAGTCCTTATTAAGCAACATCACTGCACATTAGTCCGTTTTTGTGGTGGGGGGTTAGGACTGTAATTTTCATGTGGTTAGAGATGAGGCCTATCACGCTTCTAATATTATTGAGTACTGTAAGGCAACTGTTTAATAACAAGCTCACCATGTTAACTCCTCTTGATGTTAACTCTGACAAACACCTAGCTGTACGACTGTTACCCACTTGAGGCAGGGGTTATTGCCCTTTGTGATGTCACAAAGGGAAAATCTCAAACAGCCTGTTTAAGCACACATTTTCTGAACAGTGGAGAAGGCAAAATGATGGACTTTTATCATAATTGTTTTTATTAATTAGTTTTAGACACATGTAAGTGTTCGATATGTGACTTTTAACAGTGTATTCTAGTAGGGATTTAAAACTGGAAGTGAGAGTGAGCTGATGTGAGAACGCCGCAGGATATTCTCCGGAGAATTTACCGTGAGCCAATAGTAGGGGGAAGTGAGGTTTATATACTGTGACTGCTGCAGGGTGCATAGAGTGTATACAGGCGACCACTACTATATTAAACAGCTGCATAATGTTTTCTATTTGCCAGTATGTTGTTGTTCTCCAGTTTTGATGTCAGGATGTTTGATGTCTCCGGTTAATGATGTCATGCCGTTGGACTACAAGTATCATTGACATAAAGGCAAATACTCCCATCATAGCCCTGTAAAGCGGACTCTGTTGCTTCATCCGCTACTTCCGCGTTGTTTTACACTGTCTGACAGGGATAGTCCCCCGCTGTGAGGAGAATATGTGAACAGCCAGGTCAGGAGAATCTCCGGAGCAGTCCTCCTGAAATTATCTAGATGTTTTGCCTGCTGCCATAGCTTACTGTCTATTCACCTGCAGTAATAACAAGAATGAAGTACCTTTGATTTGTATTAACAGAGGTTAATATTATTATATAATATCCTGTTCATTAACAACTTGTTTTTTATGTTCTTCTCTCCATCCAAGGTATGAACTCTATCTTTGTATATGTTGGCCACTCTCTCCTTGGTTTTTACTTCCCCTTCAGTTGGGAGATGCGCTTCCAGCAAAGCCATTGGGAATGGCTCCTTCAAAGCCTGTGGGGAACTGCACTGTGGGTACTCATTGCTTACCTGCTGTACAAGAAGAATTTCTTTCTCAAAATATAAACCAAGATCAACAGTTCATTTTTAATTCTAATTTTTCATGTGTAAAAAGATGTGATTGTTTAAAAGCATAAAGAATACATCTCTGGGAGTTTCAAATAAGTTTAGTTAATTTATCCATGAAGTCACACCTAAACACTTTCATTTGACTGAATTCTACAGATTCTAATATCCAATCCATCTGAGGTACGAGCAGAACAGAGGAACTACTTTAAGAGACTTTATTTTTCATTTAAAAAAGTAGGAAAGCCTTCATCTATGAAAGCAATTTAAACATCACTTGGTTTCTAAACAACATATCTGACCCATTGTCAGAGTGTTTAGCTTTTATTTGATACCATTTGTTTTGTGTGCTGAACAGACTATATTAAATCAAATATAGCAAGGTGGTACTTAACAAATTAGGCTGAGTGATTCCACTACACACAAGGCCAGTCATTATGAGTCTGTTGCCATGGCCACTCCTT